CATCCCTCCCCTCTGCCTCACCCTCCTCTCTCACACACTCTCTCTGTCTCCTGCAGGACATAGAGGAGACCATGAACACCGCTCTGAATGAGCTGCGTGAACTGGAGCGGCAGAGCTCAGCCAAGCACGCCCCTGATGTGGTGCTGGACACCCTGGAGCAGCGGCAGACCTCTGGGAGCAGCGGAGGAGGTCCCACTCCTGCCAGCTCCAGCGAGTCCCTCAGCCCCATCCACGGTGTCATGCTGAGGTCCACCGCCAACACTGAGCCGCCCATCCGCCGCAGCACCAGCACCTCCAGCGACACTATGAGCACCTTCAAGCCTGCGGTAGCGCCTCGTATGGGGGTGCAGCTCAAACCCCCTGCACTGAGGCCCAAGCCCATGGTCTTGCCCAAGTCCAGCCAGGCCTCACAGTCTCATCCCACATCTCCTCAGGACCCTCTCGACAAGTCCTGCACCATGTGACCTCAGGGACAGGAAAGAGAAATGTAAACAAAATACACATCACAGATAGACGCCAAATAAGAACTTGAAACATGTGAAATTAACCAGCCCGGACAGGAGGAGATGTTCCCTTTAGGACGACTCTGACCTGAGAGACTGATGCAGGAGTTACCATGGAGACGGAAGAGCCAGATGGACAAGTCTTCTGTCCAAATAATGCACAGTGATGTGTAAATACGCTGAGGTTGATATTATCTGACAAATGTCTTTTTTTATGAATCCAAACAACAAATCACAAAGGCTTCCTTCAGAGTTTTAGAAAATGTCCATTGATCAGTTTACAGATGTTTAAATCAGGCTGCATGTAGCTCCTCTCTTCACCACTGAACCCTCACAGAGCTCAAAGGTACAGTGTGCAGAACTGGTGACATTTAGTGATAACTTACAGAAGGGATGGGGATTCAAAACCAGTTCCAGATCAGAACCACTTTCAAGTAGTTTATTGGTTTCCTGATCAATGCCCCCACTTAGTTCTGTGTGCCTTCAAAACAATCAAGTGACACATGACTAGAGGAAGCCAGTACGACAGACGGGAGACTGGTGCGGTCCAGACTGCGGTTGTAAACTACAGATTATTATGTTTACAAAATCAGTTCTTAATGTTTCAGGTATCCTTTGTAGTTGATTGAAGAAAAGCAAATAGATTGGGTTACATTTGAGGTTTCGGGAAAGAGCGGATATTTCTATGGGAAACGTGACACTGTATGATTTCTCACATCATAACAGAATTCATATAAAACATTTGCCCATGAGTGTTTCAGATTTGATAAGATTTGATCATAGGATTTAATTTAGGAAACATTACTGTGACGCGGATACAATGCCGGTTATTTCATAACGCTTTTAATCGGATGACTAATTAATATGTCTGTCTCTAAATGATTTTGTTGTTGACACAAAACCCAAAAAAGTCAACTTCTGGGATTCAATAAAGACCCAGATTAACAAACAGAATCCATTCACCAATAACCACTTCTTCTTCCTGGTCCTCTAGCTGATTTGTCCATTTGAGCTACTGTAGAAACATGGTTGTGCAAAATGGCGACCACTGTGGAAGGCGGCCCCGCTCTTCTGTAGATTTAAAAGGCTGATTCCAATTTAACAAAACAGTTTTTATATTTCTACACAAATTTGGACTCACTGAGTATTATCCTCTGTTTCTGCTGAGCCTGTTTTGATAAAGGCGGATAATTCTGCACACTGTACCTTTAAAGGAGGAGAACTGTTTAAAGTTATATTCACACACTTTTGAGTATTTTCTTTCTCTTTGTGAGTGTTGTGAGCTGATTTTAAGGCCTTATTGACTCTTTAATGTAACAAATTTCAAATGTAGACTTCTTTCATAATGGTGCTGTGGTTACCTTGATGGAGAGAGGTTTGAAGGTTTGAAGGTTTGGGGCCTGAACAGCCTTTAACATGTTACGGTACTTTGTTGATATATTACAGAGCTAATAGTAGTAATAAGCTTTTTCCACTAGCTTGTAAACTGCAGCTTTTTTGGCCTAGCCTAGAGAGTGTTGTGTCTGAGAAATGTACAAAGATCACCTCCGTGCTGGACTGAACACGCTGAATATTGCCTGGAATGACTATTGGATGAAACCACTACTTCACTATGAACTCTGTTTGAACATTTCCATGCGCTCTTGGATTCCTGCATTTATAAGTCGATATGTTGGGGTGAAATCTGCCTGATAATGTCTGCTTTGCATCTGTGGATCCCATGGAGAGCAGTGATAGCTCATCGTCTGTGTGTGGTTTATACGTCATAAATTCAAACGGACACCGTGGAACAGTTTCTGTTTTGCCTCTCCTAACTTTATTAACCCAAAGACCTGACTGTGCAAGTCCAAGCATGGATGTGGACCCTCTGTTTAATCCTACTCCCCGGACTGATGTGTACAAACTCATGGCAGCACCTGGTAGGAGTGCTGCAGGTAGCCATGAACTTGATGACTGTTAGTGTAAAAGGCTGTCTTTGTCCTGTTTCCTTTGACTCCTGTTGTCTAAATCATTGAAAACGGCTGCTTGCTTTGTGTAAAACTATTTTCTTTGTCTAACTGGGGTAGCACTGAGTACATGTCATAAGTTAGTGTGTAACCTATAATAAATGCAAGTCAGCTTGGATTATTTTTTTTTTTGTTGAGAAATCAGACTGGGAGCCAGTACGGAGGCTAGGCTATTGGCTGCTGCACAGAGGGTCAGCTCTACCACATAAATGTCAATGTACACTTCTACTCAGAGACTTTTCAGTGCTTAACTATTGAATTATGAATTTATTTGTTTTGGCTCCATTTATAGACACACTTATTCACAGTCTGCAGTGCACTGATCTGCTGTTCAGGTCTACAGGCTTTAAAAGAGACAAAACCTTCAACCAAACTAAAACATGAGTGATTCTGACACACTGTTACTCAAGAGGACACCTGTATGAAGTAGAGTCTCAACACTTTACCGACTCAATTAGAGAGGGAGGAGACTTCTGTGCTAACTGAAGAACAGACGAGATTATCAGGGGATGCAGGTGTGCCACCAGGAAACAATTAGGGATGAACCAAACGTGCGCATCAACAAAAATCAGTAAACAGAGTTGATGGCAGACTTAGGCAAAAAACGTGCCATGCATCAGTCTGCAGCAGATGCTTACCTGTGCATCTTCATCTTCATCACGACAATGTAAATCTGGAAAGCTGTTACACATTACTGCTGATCCAGATGAGTTTGTATAGGACAGAAAAAGTTCCCTGCTGGACAGACTTAAACATCAGTAGGCTATCATCTCTCATTTTCACAATCAGTGCATCTCAATAATCAACAGAACTTTAGGAGCTTTCTGAACCAGTGGCTCACATGTAGCTGCAGTCTGCATCATGCACCATTCAGAGTCCACTGAACACTTGACACCCACTTTCTGCCAAACAAAACAACAAATAATATCCTTACAGAGCGTAGATCAGTCTTTGGGTTGCAGTTTGTTACACTGAGGTCGTAGAGCTGACCTGGTCTGCAGAGGTTGATGATCTAGCTTCTGCTCTGGCTCTCTGGATGGTTTCTGAACAAAGGGGCTGAGCTGACCTGGGTCTGATGTGGGTCACACACTTACTGCTGACAGATGAACAGACTGAGCTATCCTTTGACATAATATTCAGGTGAGAGCAGTGTGCTTTTGTTCTTTGACTTGTATAGCAGAAAACAATGCGCGTGTACCAGAAGAACTCTCACCTGATCAGTGATGAACAGCCCATGTGAGCCCGTGCAAATGTGTCATTGTCATGTGATTATTTCAGATGGATCAGCACCATAACACTTGGACTGCCCTCCCTCCCCCAGTACTGTAGAGGTAACTGAAGTGCTTGCATGTGTTGGGAGTGTTAGATTAGTGTAACAAAACACAGAAAAGGTTTGGTTTGCTGTGAATAAGCAATGCTCTCTAACAGCAGGTTTACACATCTGTGATTGATGGATATTGAGTGTATGATAATCCAAAAGATGACTGAATCTGACTCACTAACTTTTCTTTATTTTTGTAATCATTTCTGTTTAGTTTGTTGTGTTGAAGGGTAGAAGGAGGTGTAGAATAAATATTCAGAGTTACAGGTGACTCACCCACAGTATGAAGCCAGTTGTAAAAAAAACAAAATAAGGTGTTTGACTGTCACTATGTTAACATCATAAATGATAGGCCTCTGCAGGCTTTAAGCTACTCTGTGGTGTCTGTACATCTGTAGTATGTACTTGTGAAAGTGCCTTTGAAAATGTTTTAGAGGAACTTGAGATATTTTGTTTCATTTTCATGTCAGATTCTGTGTTTTATGGAAATGCAGAGAAAACATGAACAAATATTGATGCCATTTTTCAAATAGTAATGAGAGAATTAACAATAAACATCTTAATCATTGTGACATTGCACTTGTATGTATATAACTGTATATACAGCATGTAACATCATAACATTTAGAGTTCTGTGAGGTTTTACACCTCTGAGGATTTCTTTCTAATAAAGGAAATAGTTTATAGAGTCCGAGGTGGGTTTTTTCCCTCTGTTACAAACTCACAACTTAAAGCTCCTGTGAGGAACGTCTGACCTGTTTGTTTTAGCACCCGCCATAGACAGAGCAGTCTTTGCTTAGCTTCTCCTCTTGATGATAAAGTATTGTATCCTATAAAAAAAACCGCCAGCTTAAGAAATTATGGTAGTGTTAGGAATCATTTATCCAACAAAAAAAGTTGAGTCCTATGGTTCCTCTGTGGCCCTTGTTTTTTTTTTTTTTGTTTGTTTATTTATTTATTTATTTTTGGCTGGTGTAACGAAAAAGAAGAAATAATTGACACAGAACAAGTGCCTCTACCATTTCTCTATTAAGGTCTGAGAGAAGTTTGGAGCACGAGTTTTAGTAAGTAAACAGAATGATCAAAGCTCCTAGGAGTTTTTAATGTCTATAAAATAGATTCAGATTCATATTGATACCTTTTTATGATCATCAAAAGCAAACTCAAACATCAGTGACATGATTGGTAATTTTAATCTTGTAATTTATAAAGCTGAGCAGTTGAGAAAACAGTCCTGTTTTTGTTGTTTCCACTTGAAATACTCACAATTAATGATACAGTTAACAGTCAATAGTCAGCAGGAGGAGTTTTTTGGCAGAAGTCAAGCATGTTGGGGGACAAAAGAAGCAAAGACTGGTTTGTCCACAGGGGGCGCCAAAATTGAGACAAACTGAAAGTTGCTCAATGGAGCTTTAAGCAGTCATGTTTCAGTAAAGCATGAAAAAGTTATGACAAGTCTGAAGACACATGACCGACAGAGGTCATAAAAGTATGACAGCCTTTCTGGTAGTGACACTTTTTACAGGGCCTTTCATCCTTGGTAACCCCTGATTAAGATATACTGTAATTAATAATGTCATAGTTATATTTACAGATGATTTTGGGTGACAAACATGAAAGTCTGAGTGTTACAACACTGATAAGTTCTGTGGCAGTGTCCTCCAGCTCTTAACAGGCTGTTAAAATTTCCTTCTGACTGTATGTGTCTTTAACTGCTGGTGTTTGAGAATCAACAATTGTTTTTGCAGTCAAGTTTATTTACATAGAAAATGGGACAAGTTAGCCCTGGATTTACACACATGCTTCATTTGAACACATTCACACATTACTGGTGTCTATCACATTCAGTTGAAGTTGCAGGTGATTTGGGGGCAAAACCAGAGGCAACAGAGCAGCAAATCTTTATTCACACTTGAATACCATCAGAGCATTGTGCTTTGTGAATCAGACCTTGAGACTACAGCAGGAACAGCTGACTGATGGTTCATAGAGCTATAGTGCTGCAGTCATTCTTTGTGTATTCACCCAGAGTGTGTTTCTTTACGTGCTGTGTTCTACAATGTGAGGGAGCTTTACTGGGATTCTGTGCTGTCCAGATCCAGCTCCAGCTTCAGCACTGTTTGCAGGAGTAAAAGTGGCTCTCTGTGTGTTCCAGGCTCTACTGTGGACCTTCATGGCCATCTGGGAAACAGAAAAGAGAGAGACGATTGTTTTACATTCAGTCCAACAACTATTGTTTTTTCCTGCAGCTGCGCTGAGGCCCACCATGGTGCAATAATTAAAGCTGAACACACTCTTTCTTTAAACAGGTGACAGACAATCCAGGAGAAGAGAGCTGAATGCATTTGGAGAAAGAGAAAAAAAACTTTGTTCACCTCAGTGACTTCAACCTTCCTCTCCCAGGTGTGGATGCTCTGCTGCAGCATCTTGTGTTTGTTCTTGATGTGAACATACTCCATTATACTAGGGGCCTGATAATCTGCTATCTGGCGGCGCAGGTTTTGGTTTAGAGCCTCTGCTTTTAAACACTCCTGAAGGAGAACATGATGTGAAAGAGATGGAAAACCCAAACTGTAAAGACCAGGAAATAACTAAGGTACATTTTCTCATATTGCATTACTTGTTTATTGGTCCGTGTCGGTAAAAGAATCATTGTGGTGCATCATCACAAACCTCTTGAGCTCGCTGTATCTTCTCCTCAATTCTGGCCAGAATCTGCTCTCTGTTTGTGATATCACTGCTCAGCTCTGTGGACTCCTGTGTCACACTCTGCAGCGCCCCCTGTCAACAAACACACTTGAAGACTGAATAAAATGGTGCCAAAGTCGACCAATAAAGGTATGCTTGATAAAGCTGAGGACATTTTTTCTTTCACACACAAACATCTAACGTGTTACCTTCTGAGAATTGAGGATACGTGTGACTTTCAAATAACTGGCTTGAAGTTCATCCAGGTTTTTTTCGATTTTCGGCTCATCAAATTCCTGGAAAATGATCTGTGACAACCCACAGTGTCAGATAATGTTCGATTAGCAGATCACACCATATTGTTCACTGTTAAAACAGACTACCTCTAAACAACTACTTTATCTTTTGATTCATTACCTCATAGTCAGCCTTAACTGCGTCTCGTCTCTGTAGAAGCTGCTGTTGGATCTTCTTCTGCTGAACCTTCAGGGCCTTGTTTTTAAAATGATACCGCTCGAGCTGGGTGATCTGTTACAATTTGCGTGTTGGAGCAAAGAAAAGACTGTTAAAAACAGGCAGGAGGCTGTTATTTTGTTTTAAAAGCTGAGCTAAAACTGCTCATCTTTAGTCTCTCTTAAAGCTTCTTTCCACAGGTTCATCTAGTTAAACCACTCTTACTGTTTACCTGTGACTTGTCCTGGATATACTGGAGCACCTTCTCAGGTTCCTTCATATCCAGCATGTTATTCTTCAGAGGTCTAACCAGGTGGTGTTCAAACTTTTTCTGAGCCTTCCTGATTTCTGACAGACGTTTTTCTGACTCCTTCATGGAGGCCTGGACAGAAATAAGCTCGCTTAGTGTGGGTTTTTTTCTTTGTTTGGTGTCATTTTAAGGTTCTTGTAGTTACCCTGTAGTTATCCTGATTCCTCTTACAACTCTGTTTGAGTTTCTCTTGGTCGTATTGCATCTCTGTAAACTCTCTCTGAGCCAAAGAAAGTTTTTGTTTCATGGTCAGCTGTGGGAGGAGATCTGGTACATGCGATTTTCGTCTCCACCCATGACCCTGACAGGCGCACACACACACACACACACACACACACACACACACACACACACACACACACACACACACACATTCATGGCCATAATGAACATGGGTTATCAGGGGTGAAGTAACAGGTAAAAAGATTACAAATTAAGTCATTGTGGTATTTTATATCAATAAACTTCTCTTTTCCCAGACAAGACCCAATAACTGACAAAGTACACCACAGACCTGAGAAATCATGACCAAAAGTTTTACATTGTGGTAAAGATGAAATTAAAAAAATAATAAAATCCACTCTTGACATGGGATTTCTTAATCTCCAGGAAAAATACAAAGAAATAAATGATTTTACAATCCAAAAGAGAGGCAAACCTCACCAAGTTTACTTTTTTGGTGGATATTTCTTACTTCCCCTGACAACTTCAAGTCTCAAGTCACAAAATTATACCATTATTACACCATGCTGACCTTCTTGATCCAAAATGTGTCATTTCCTGTTACTTATTTGTGGCCACAAAGTCTTAGTTTTTGCCTGTTTGTGCATGACCAGCCGACCAAACAACATGTCTAGAAACAAAACTTCATTCTGCTAGACTTAGCACTTTTGACGCAGTAGGTACTGTATATCTGGTGCAGGTGAAGGAGCAAAGATTGGATGAAAGGTAGATGAAATTCACCCCTCAGAAAAGTCTGCAAATAAACAATGTCATTTTGTATTTAATTACATCCCCAATTCTTCCTGTTTTCAGCGAGTCTCGGTTTCACTGTCAATAGTTAGTTTTGCTGAAACTTCACCCCAGCTCTAGCAGGAACCTGAAACACAAACTGAATCAATATCTGATTTAGAACGATTTGTTAAATACACGTGCTAAATAAATCTCTGTCAGATTGCTGCCTGAGCTGCTTGCTTTCTGCCTGTTTTTCACTCTGTACAGACTGTTTTTATCACAAAAGCTGTCAAGTTTTCTGTCTCTGTGTGCATCACTTACCCCATCTCCCAGTTTGGACCCTCTGGGTGTGTCTGGACCATTTCCTACTCCCTGTGACTGCAGGTACTGAGAATCAGTGTGGCTGATAAACCGTTCAAACAGGTCTATCTCTGCCAGAAGAACTGCATTGGAGCATCTGAAAGAGGAAATAAATAGCTTTACAGTCACCCAAAGAGGAAAACTGATTAAATTGATTCATGTTGAAGGATCAGAGTTTGGCTGTGTGGAAATATCCAAAATTTAAAGCTTATTTGAAACCACGAGGCTCAGCAGGGCGGAGAGGAAGAGTTAAAAATTGCACATACTGCCCACCCTGCAGGCCAGACTGCTTTACTTTACATCAGAGCTAGTTTTAGCGGTTAACGTTAGCATGTTTCCACTGAGGGATTTAGCATTAACTAAAACAGCACTTCTAAAATTTGCCGCCTATTCCAGTAATGATAATTTCCTTCAACAACAAGTGTAATTGATTATTTATGTCCATTACTTCAATTCTTGGACCCGCTTGAAGAGATCTTCTCTTTCTTCTTCGGTGACTCCTTTGCCTTTTTCCTCCATCAGGGAAAGCTCGCGCTCCATGGTTGCTAGGGTACATACAACACCTGCCTTGTTGCGAGGGTTTTGCTGCATTCACGTAGCCAGAAGAATAATCGGATAAAAGAACTCTAACCTCGTATGATAACGTGAAGCCTCTTTACGACCGAGTGAAGGTCGAAAAAAAAATTCTTATACACAGCTTTCCGAGTTAACAGACATTACATACCTCTAAACATTGCGTACCGCGGCAAACTTTGACTTGGACAAAATCGTTTCATGAGGCTCAAGTGATTGCTTGTTTTGCAGTTGACGTTTTCTTTCCGCGAGTTACCGTGAGCTAACCATCTCCTTCTGAAATCATAAACTACAATACAACCTCTTCCAATTGTGTCTATATAACTTCTGTTTTACGGTTCAAACCTTTTAGTCACACTAAGGTTTGGAGAATGATGATGTCTGCGGGAGCTCCGAGCATCAGAAGGGCACCTGAACATAGTGTAAAAGTTGTAGCAACGCGCCGTTTCCCGTCCTTTCGATGAACGTATAAAATATAATAAATCGATATTAATTCTGTGTAGCATAATACGTTAGCAACAATAATTTATGCCACTGAGTTTACTTTATCAAGATTATCGCTCAAATTTCTGGATTTATTAAGGAGACCTGGCCTTGAGTTTCCTTCAATTTTGTTTTTCAACAACAAACTCGAAGTTCGTCTTATTTAACCTTTTTCTAAAGTACTTCACTGTTTTATCCACTGAAAAGGTACAGAACAGGACTTTTATCACGGTTTATACTGCAAGATACTAAAGCTACATATATATTTTTAAATATATAGTTTAGCTACTTCAGTAGTTTCCAAACCCTGAAACTCTGTAGTATTCAATTTACAGCTTATGTTTTATGTCCTTCCCAAACAGTATAAAGATATACCCTTAATAGATTCCACAGCTAGAAATTTATCTCAGAAAATTACTGGGGGAAAAAAGAGATTTGAATCAACTTGTAAGATTTTATTGCATTTTCATATTAATATTTCTTAGACAAAAAAATGATTGTATATATTGTAAATCAAATTATATAACCTATGCTTATTGTACAACTTTAACTATTAATACTTCAACAATTCAGAGAGAAGTAAGTGCAGTGATATTCATTGTCTTCTGTAACCATTTTATTTTTTGTACTAAAATGTTTGTTTTGTTTTTTTTTTTTTACTAATTTCAATGTCATAAGAGGACACAGATGAAATCAAAAACAGCCTTAGTGGAGAGACTGACTTGTGCTCAGGTTGACTGTGCAGTGCGGTACAGTTTCTACAGTCTGTTCAAATGACAAAAAGCAAATCAAGAAGACACAACTAAATCAAAAGACAGAAAACCATTCCGAATCAGCAGTTACACCTAAGACTGGTCTGGTTAAGGCTGTTGCAAAAGCATGATGGCAGCTGTTGGAGACATGCAGAATTACAATGAACAGAAAGTTGAGAAATTTAGAAATAATGTTGAAACTCATTCCATCATTACATGAAAACATTGTGGACTACCTCTCAATTTAAAACTCGTTTAATCACACAGATGCAGCTATCACTTCAACTACATCATCTCCAACACATCTACGTACACATGGCTACATGCCTACACATTTCCCCACAGAGGCTGCAGGAAAAAAGCTTCTCATCAGTGTGGGTTCTTCTCATGTTTACCATCACACTTTTTTAACACTTTTTGATTTGAAAGAATTTAAGTGTGTTGATCTAATGAACTCACTATGCTGAATGATTTTCCACAGGTACCACAGAAGTATGGCTCTCAGCTGTGTGGCTTCGTATGTGCCGATTCAGGTCAGCCCTCTCAAAGTATCTTTTCCCACAGATGCTGCAGGAGTGTAGCATTTCCCCGATGTGGATTTTTCTAATATGTCGACTCAGTTCACTGCTAGATTTGAAAGAACTGTCACAGGTTTTACAAGGAAAAGGAGTTTCACCTGTATGAATCCGAAGGTGAATATTCAAATCTGTGCTGCGATGGAATCCTTTACCACAGAAGCTGCAGGAGTGTGGCCTCTCGTTCAAGTGTGTCCTCATGTGGTCCGTCAATTCATGACGTGATCTGAACTCATTTCCACATCTTTTGCATGCAAACAGCTTTTCACCATGCGTCTTCAAATGCTCTGTCAGGACACTTTTTCTACTGAAAGATTTGCTGCATATTGTGCAGGTAAAAGGCTTCTCACCTGTGTGAACCAGGGTGTGCCTCTTAAGGGTTGAACTCTGGTAGAATCTTTCCCCACAGGTGCTACAGGAGTAAGCCTTCTCACCTGTGTGTATTTTCATGTGGACTTTCAAGGCCTGGCGGAATCTGAAGCCTTTTCCACACGTTTTGCAAGAAAACGGTTTCTCACCTGTGTGTGTCCTCATGTGGTCTGTCAAGGCAATTTTTTGTCTGAAGGATCTGCTGCAAATGGTACAGGTAAACGGCTTTTCGCCTGTGTGAATAAGAAGGTGCATCTTTAAGTTAGAACTTCGAAAGAATTTCTTCCCACAAATACTACAGGAGTACGCCACCTCGGCTGCATGTTTCTTCATGTGGACTGACAAAGCCTGAACTGATTTGATGCCTTTTCCACATGTTTTGCAGGAATATGGCTTCTCATCTTTGTGGGTATTGGTGTGCACTTTCAGCAATGATGTGTTACTGAATGTTTCGCTCCCGTAAGCATATAATTCCTTACCTGTGTGGAAACACAGGTGTGTCTGTAAATCTGTATCATCCATAAAAATGTGCCCACATGTGTCACATTTAGCAGAACTTTCACCTTGTAGAGGATCAGAGGGAATCTCTGACAGTTTTGTGTTTTGGCTTTTTTCATGACCTTTTGATTTTTGTTTTGGTCCTGATAGTAACTTTGTTTCTAAGTTGCCATGCTTGCCTATCTTTGGATTTTGGCGAACAGCAGCATGAGAATTATAAGGGAAGAACTGGTCCTCAGTGTTTGGTTCTGACTCAAGGTCCTCGCTCTCTTCACCAGTGATGATAAATTTCAAGTATTCAGTCTCCTGCTCTGGTTTAAGCTGCTCTCTGTCCTGACTGGTGCAGTATTCCTCCTCTTCCTCTTTAATCTGTACAGACTCTGGGTCCTCTTGGTCCGGACTGGAGTTCCTCTCCTGGTTACAGAGCTGCTGGTCTGAGAAAACCTTCTCCTCCTCCTTACAGTCATGTTTTTGTGGAAGCTCTGCAAAAACACAGAAGCATAAATATGTCACTGAGATGGGACAGAAAACAAAGAAGTGAAATCAGTATACTGTGTATGAAAGAGCAACATCTGAAGACGTTCTATGAGAGGGATGTAATATTTTAAGGACAGAGTTGTAATATTAAACACAATTTATTATTTAAGTTAAAATGTTTAAGAATTAAGGTACAATACTGAGATACTCTCGCAAGATAAATGTCTGACCCCAGCTGCATCATCTATGATTGTCCACCTCAGGCCCAGAGCTCCTCCATCTCTTAGGCTCTTCTGGACTGTTGCTACAGACACGTACGTCAGTCTAACTGACATCAATAAAATAAAACTAGAGTAAACTGCCATTGGACCTGCCAACTTTAATCACCTTAAATTAATTTAACATAGTCCTTAATTACTTTTTTCTTTATCCTGTTCATTTAAGTCATTTTCTACCATCTACTTACTAACCAGATCTCTCTAAATGTCCCTGAGCCCCTATAGACGGTTGGCTGCTGTGGACCTGTCTGACTCTAGCTGCATCGTTTATGATTGTCTGCCTCAAGCCCCGAGCTTCTTCTCTTGGGTTCCTCTGGACTGTTGCTGCAGACATGAAGATCAGCCTCACCTACATTAATAACATAAAGCTATAGTTAACTACTACTAGGCCTACTGACTGTAATCTTTCCTGATCTCCCCTCTCCCCTTTCCTATTCTCTCTCTCCTTCCTTCTATCTTGTTCTCTCTCTCTGTCTCTCTCTCTCTCTCTCTCTCTCTCTCTCTCTCTCTCTCTATCTCTGTATTCCTCCCAAACCCAGCAGGGGCGAGGTGGCTGTCTAACATTCTAGCATGAGTCTGGTCCTACCCAAGGTTTCTGCCTGTTAAAAGGAAGTTTTTCCTTGCCACTGTTACTCTTGTCAGATGAGATGGGCAAATCTGTTCCATCTTAAGGTTGGGTCTTGATAATTCATCAAACAATGAGCGTGGTCTTGACCTGCTCTTTTTCTTTGGAAAGCATCTTGGGATGACGACTTTTGTGAATTGGCGCTATATAAATAAAATTTGATTGATTGATTGATTGATTGATTGATTGATTGATTGATTGATTGACATAAAATGCAATTTGCAACACAATGTAAAATACGTTTTGATGCTATGAAGAAAAGAGTGGTAAGATAAGTTGTAACATGAAGAGAACAATTTAAATCAAGATTATAAACTGTATTAAAGACTAATATTACTTTGAAAATTTCCCGGTGATATTACAAAAATCAAGTCACAAAATGTGAGACAAAGTCAACATGAGTGAATTAGTTATTCTCTAACTACTACAGGGCTGTTCCTCTGCTTTAAATCACATTATTTACAAAGAAGCCGAGAGGAGAGGCAGCCCTGACATAAACCGAGCTCATGCTTTATTATTCAGTCAAAACGTGTTTTTTCTCACCTATTCTGTGTAAGTGAATGTGAGGTTTCCAAACCAGATCCAGCAGTCTGCGCTGACGCTCCAGCTCTTCCTCGTACTGGACCAGAGTTCTGTTAAAAACTCCCAAAATGTCTTCAGCAGCAGCAGCGAGCCGCTCGGTCACAAACCCTCTGAGAGATTCAGCTGCAGACATCGTTGATTTGTTACGGTTTGTAAAGAAAACTGCGATGTGAAAACGGAAACATCCCCATATATCGCTGTTTGTTCTGCTTGTTTACTTCCGCCGCGTGTCACACCGGTAAAGTTCCGTAAGCGGAGATGCGGCAGCCAAATGTTCCACCCTTCTCTTCGTCTCCTTTCCGTTGCCCCAACGGTTTTAATTATCTCCAACTTTAATGCAATGGTTCGTAAACCTCTGTAATGTGAAACCTCTTTCCTTCATTTACTAATGCTACTCTTTTTGTAACAACTTTTGTATAACTGATAGGAGTGCTGTTGGTACTTCCAAAATCGTTTTCAGTAAAGAATACAAGGACCTTAAATGGGCTTAGGTCCAGAAAAGTCTCTAGTGTTCCTGGATCCTGTTTCTATCTGGTTTCCTCTTTGCAGCGTTCAGTTTAACCTCATTTGTGGATACATTGAGGAACTTTGTTCACAGTCCAAGGTTTTGAAGTGATTTTGAGCCCGTGCAGTGATTTCCATGCCAGAGTCTTGTCTGTTTTTAATGAAGTGCAATCTGGGGACCTGAACCACGACCATCCAATTTTGGTTTAAGCTTTGTCCTCTTTTCTTTCACTTCTATAAAAACAGGATACAAATGCATTACTATGAATTTTGTTTTGACAGTCCAAGTTTATTGAACACCATATTCTTATCACCACACCTTATCAGCATGACAGCTACAGTCATCTAAATCAAATTTGTTGTAGATTACCATTTAAAAAAGTTATTAAAACAAACAAACAGATAAGAAAATACTAAAAAAAAACAAAACAAAAAAAAAAACAGCCAACCAAAGTAGCTCATTGGTTAAAAAAAAGAAACATTTGTTGAGCCGGAGGAACTAAACAGGACTCCATAGAACAAGTATTACAGTCAGAAAGTCACAGTAAAATGTATCTTAACTGTTGGATTAACTAAACACACAGATGGTATTTTATTAGCTGAGAGCTCATCTCTATAACGTGCCTTGTGTAAGGTTGAACTTGCACAGAACAGAGAATCCAGTTCACATACACTACAGGCCAAAAGTTTGGAAGCAAGATCAGATTTGTACAAAAAAAGATCATAGTTTCATATATATAATTTGCAACACAATAAACATGACTATTGTGTAAAGAGTAACTTATCAGAAGACATTTTGACTATAATTATTAGGTATTTGAGTTATTGTTGCTTAGACTTTGCTTTCTTTAAAGTAACCTCCTCTGGCTTCGACAACAGCTTGACATATACCAGGCATTCGTTCCACAAGTTTTTTAAGGTATGTTCCAGGGATCGCATTCCAAGCTTTCTTAAGTTCATTAAAAAGAGACTGCGGATTCGTGGGAAGTGTTTTTCTGACCGATCGATCCAATTCATCCCACACAAGCTCAATTGGAGAAAGGTCTGGAGACTGAGGGGGCCAAACCATCTTTTGAAGAACACCTTCCTCTTCTTTGTTGTCTAGGTAACCCTGACAGAGCTTGGCATAGTGCTTAGGGTCATTGTCTTGCTGCAAAACAAACTTATGAGCCACAAGTCTTAGTCCAGGTGGAACAGCATGGTGCTGGAGGATGGAGTGGTACTGTTCCTTTTTCATAATACCCTTTACTTCAAAACAAATCTCCTACTCCATCACCTGCAAAACATCCCCATACCATGGAGCTACCACCTCCATGCTGAATTGTGGGTGTAACACATGGTGCTTTCAGACGTTCACCAGTTCGTCTGCGGACATAGACTCTGCGTTTTGAAGCAAACAGTGCAAACTTGTTTCTAGTCATCATAAGTCCAATTTTTGTGAGCTTTTGCCCACTCATATCTCTTTTTCTTGTTCTGTGGAAGAAGTAGTGGGGTTTTTTTGCAGATACACAACCCCTAAGACCAGCCTTTCTCAAAGGTCATTTCACGGTTGTCAGAGATATGGGTTTCGACCTTGTCATCTTGATTTCCTCCCTTATTTGTGGTGCTGTCTTTCACTGATCCCTCTTACTGGTGACAATGCTATTTTTATCCTCTGCTTTTGTAATAGCTCTCTTTGCTTCAGGTCTTTTTCTATCATCATAACTGCAGGTTCCTCTAGTCTCTTCAGAGTGTAGTGGACTCCTTTGTTAAACACCTTTAGGCATTTTGCAATTTCTCCTTCTGTGTATCCTTCTTTCCTTAATGTACAAATCTGTACTTTTGTTTCTTTACTCAATTGCTTCTTTCTAGACATTTTTGTGGCAGTTTGAACGCAGTTGATATTTTTTAGGATTTTTGTATGCAGACTCTCAAAAGCCAAAAAGTTGAAGTGAATAATCCAACTGTGATTTATTTTTTTGCTTTTGCACTGAAGTTGTGACTCTAGCAAATGTTTTCAAGCCTAAAACTAAGCCCTTATTATCTTTTGCTGACATATATTTAGCAATGGTCTGTTAACATCAATGTATATCTAAAGGTAAATGGAGTAAAATGGTGCATTTCCATGAAAGCAACATCTGATCATGGAGAAAATACATCCCAAAATTTATAAAACTCATGCTGGATTTAAAAAAAAAAAAGCATTGTGAACAAAAACTTAAAGCTACTCCCAACTGTTCGGCCTGTAATGGCCTTGCTTCCAAACTTTTGGCCTGTAGTGTAAACTTCAACAGTATTCTGACTTCACACAATGACATTTGCTTCTGATTTCAGTCACCAGCTTCTGTGACACTTTTTGATGGAATTTCCTGCTGCATCTGACAAACCTGACACATTTTACCTGTGTGGGTTCTTGTGTGATCATCTAAAGAGATCTTCCTGACTAATGATTTCCCACAGGGACCACAGGCTGTTCACCTGTATGGATTTGGGTATGACGATTTAAGTTTGTTTTTCGAGTAAACTTTTTCCCACAGTTGCCACAGGAGTACGGTTTCTTACCTGTGTGCGTTCCTATGTGCCGTTTCAGGTTACCTTTACTGCTAAAAGATTTGCTGCATGTTTTGCAGGTGAACAGCTTTTCCCCTGAGTGAAGTAGCATGTGCGCTTTCAAGTTTGAATTCCTACGCAAGTTTTTCCCACAGATGCTACAGGAGTATGGTTTCTCACCTGTGTGTGTTTTCATGTGCTCTCTTAAGTGATCTTTCGTGTAAACAGATTTGCTGCATGTTTTGCAGGTGAACAGCTTTTCACCTGAGTGAACTAGCATGTGCACTTTCAAGTTAGAATTCCAACGGAAGCTTTTCCCACAGGTGCTACAGGAGTACGGTCTCTCACCTGTGTGTAATCTTGTGTGTTTTGTCAGCAAATATTTGTGCCTGAATGTTCTCCCACAGGTGCTACAGGTGTACAGATTCTGCTCTCGATGTGATTTTGCGTGATTCGTCAGCAAACGTTCGTATCTGAACGTTTGCTTCTTCTCACCAGTGAGGACACCTAGATGTGTCTGTAAACTTGAATTGCTCGGAAATGTTTCCCCATTTGTGTCACATCTAAAAGTCTTTTCACCCTGTTGAGGATCAGAGTGAACCTTAGGCTGTTTTGTCCTCTGACTTCTTTTTTGAACTTTTTTTGGGCGGGGTTGCTCTGGTTTTGTAGTTGAGTCTGAGTCTTCATGCTTGCCTTTCTGTGGATCTTGGTTTGCAGCATCATGAGAGGTGTGAGAAAGGAGCTGTTCTTCCTTTCTTACTTCTGGTTCAGCGTTCTCACTTTCCTGACCGGTTAGATTTAACGTCAAGTATTCAGTCTGCTGCTGTGGTTCAAGCTGTTCTCTGTCCTGACTTGTGCAGTATTCCTCCTTTTCCTCTTTAATCTGTACAGGCTCTGGGTCCTCTTGGTCCGGACTGGAGTTCCTCTCCTGGTTACAGGGCTGCTGGTCTGAGAAAACCTTCTCCTCCTCCTTACAGTCATGTTGTTGTGGAAGCTCTGCAGAAACACAGAAGCATAAATATGTCACTGAGATCAGACAGAAAACAAAGAATTAGAATCAGTATACTGTGTATGAAAGAGCAAAATCTGAAGACATTCTGTGAGAGGGATGTAAGATTTTAAGGACAGAGATGTAATATTAAACACAATCAAGTTAAAATGTTTAAGAATTAAGGTACAATACTGAGATACTCTAGCAAGATAATGTAACAAAGCCCTGGCAGCCCTGCTTTAAACCGAGCTCATGCTTCATTATTCAGTCTAAACTTGGTTGTCTCACCTATTCTGTGTAAGTGAATGTGAGGTTTCCAAACCAGATCCAGCAGTCTGCGCTGACGCTCCAGCTCTTCCTCGTACTGGACCAGAGTTCTGTTAAAAACTCCCAAAATGTCTTCAGCAGCAGCAGCGAGCCGCTCGGTCACAAACTCTCTGAGAGATTCAGCTGCAGACATCGTTGATTTGTTACGGTTTGTAAAGAAAACTGTGATGTAAAAACAGAAACATCCCCATATATCGCTGTTTGTTCTGCTTGTTCTGCTTGTTTACTTCCGCCGCGTGTCACACGGAGTGAGCTTTTGCCCACTCATATCTCTTTTTCTTGTTCTGTGGACGAAATAGTGTTTTTTTTGCAGATACACAACCCCTCAGACCAGCCTTTCTCAAACGTCATTTCACGGTTGTCAGAGATATGGGTTTCGACCTTGTCATCTTGATTTCCTCCCTTATCTGTGGTGCTGTCTTTCGCCGATCTCTCTTACTGATAACAATGCTATTTTTATCCTCTGCTTTTGTAGTAACTCTCTCTTGTCCAGGGGCTGTATTCCTAAAGAATCTGAGAATCCTCTCAGACAGCTTTTAACTTAACCCAAAAATTCCTAGCAAGGAGTCTTAGCTTAGGAGTGTTTCCAGAACATTCTCAGAGAACTCTGAGCAAGGAATGGACAGAAACTCCTATCTTGGTGAGGAGGTGAGGTTGACCCCTGTTGCTAGACCCCTGTTGCTAGGTATGAGTCATCATTTCAAAAGCTGTGATTGGCTGATCCCAAAGGCTGGGAAAAAAATCTACTTCCGGTGATGATGGGTAAAGGATGGACCCTAAAATCAATAAAATTAACCATAGAATCAAATGTTATAAAGAGTGAACAGTGTAAATATTTGACGTAAAAGAAAATATCTCTTAAATGAATAATAAGCACAACTATCACATAGTGATATTAGCTTATTGATTGCTATTATGGTAATTTTTACATTTTCAACTTTCAACACCTCAACTCAGTTTGGATGAGATAATATGCCTTCATTTGTCCTCGAGTGGGGTAATTAGGTTTCAGTACAGCCAATCCTAGGAACATACAGTGAATACAGTACATGATGTGACATGGGGTAGACAGGAACAGGAGTGCTCGCAGCAGCAGCCAGGCCTCATGGGCGGTGCACCTTTTCAAAATGTTGAAAAAAAAAGAGCAGTGACTTGGGGTGGGGGGTGTAATTCACAAGGGTGAAATGGCTCAGCATTCATCAATGTCTCTGATTGCTGAGCGGCCTATAAGAAGAAGTGTTGGTTTCCCTTCAAGTCTACATCAAACCAGCGAGCAGCCATGGACAAGAAAAGAACTAAGAAACCCAACTGGACAGAGGAGCAGTGTTTGCTTCTGGCTCAATTGGTCAATGAGCACAAAACTGTTTTGAGAGGTAAATTTGGCCCCCGTGTCACAGTACAAGCCAAGAAGCAAACATGGGAAACTATAGCACAACAGGTAAATGCATCATTTCCACTGGTTGTACGGACAAGTGAGGATTGTGAGAAGCTCGCTGCTCGGTCACAAACTCTCTGGGAGATTCAGCTGCAGACATCGTTGATTTGTTACGGTTTGTAAAGAAAACTGCGATGTGAAAAAGGAAACATTCCCATATATCGCTGTTTGTTCTGCTTGTTTACTTCCGCCGTGTGTCACACCGGTAAAGTTCCGTCAGCGGAGATGCAGCAGCCAAATACCCCCTCCTATTCGTCTCCTCTCCTCTCCGTTGCCCCCCCACGGTTTCAATTATCTTCAACTTTAATGCAATGATTTATAAACCTCTGTAATGTGGGCCCGCCTCCTGAACAGGGCACGTGCTGCTGAATTTTGTAGTAATTGTACACCTGAAATATAGACAGTCGGAGTTTATTGGTCACCATATTCCCTATACAATCTTCATCAGCATTACAGCTACAGTCATCTAAATCAAATTTGTTGTAAATTACCATAAAAAGAACTTATCAAAACAAATAAAAAGATAAAAAATATTCTGGGAAAAAAAAACAGCCAACTAAAGTAGCTCGTCAGGAAAAAAGAAACATTTGTTGAGCCAGAGAAATAAAACTGGACTCTATAAAACAAGTATTACAGTCAGAAAGGCACAGAAGAATATATCTTAACTGTTGGATTAACTAAACACACAGATGGTATTTTATTAGCTGAGAGCTCGTCTCTCTAACATGCCTTGTGTAAGGTTGAACTTGCACAGAACAGAGATTCCAGTTCATATACACTTCAACAGTGTTCTGACTTCACACAATGACATTTGCTTCTGATTTCAGTCACCGGCTTCTGTGACACTTTTTGATGGAATTTCCTGCTGCATCTGACAAACCTGACACATTTTACCTGTGTGGGTTCTTGTGTGATCATCTAAAGAGATCTCCTGTCTAATGATTTCCCACAGGGACCACAGGCTCTTCACCTGTATGGATTTGGGTATGACGATTAAAGTTTGTTTTTCGAGCAAACTTTTCCCCACAGGTGCTACAGGAGTACGGTTTCTCACCTGTGTGCGTTTCTATGTGCCGTTTCAGGTTACCTTTTCTGTTAAAAGATTTGCTGCATGTTTTACAGGTGAACAGCTTTTCCCCTGTGTGAACAAACATGTGCAATTTCAAGCTTGAATTCCAACGGAAGCTTTTCCCACAGATGCTACAGAAGTGTGGTTTCGCTGCTGTGTGTTTTTTCATGTGCTTTCTTAAGTGATCTTTCGTGTAAACAGATTTGCTGCATGTTTTGCAGGTGAACAGCTTTTCCCTTAAGTGAACTTGCATGTGCGCTCTCAAGTTTGAATTCCAACGGAAGCTTTTTCCACAGGTGCTACAGGAGTACGGTCTCTCACCTGTGTGTACTACTGTGTGTTTTGTAAGCAATAGTTTGTGCCTGAATGTTCTCCCACAGGTGCTACAGGTGTACAGACTCTGCTCTTGGTTTGATTTTGCGTGATTCGTCAGCAAACATTCGTATCTGAACGTTTGTTTCTTCTCACCAGTGAGGACACCTAGCTGTGTCTGTAAACTTGAATTGCTCGGAAATGTTTCCCCATTTGTGTCACATCTAAAAGTCTTTTCACCCTGTTGAGGGTCAGAGTGAACCTTAGGCTGTTTTGTCTTCCGACTTCTTCTTTTTTTAATTTTTTTGGGGGGGTTTTGTTCTGGTTTTGTAGTTGATTCTGAGTCTTCATGCTTGCCTTTCTGTGAATCTTGGCTTGCAGCATCATGAGAGTTGTGAGAAAGGAGCTGTTCTTCCTTTCTTAATTCTGGTTCAGCGTTCTCACTTTCCTGACAGGTTACATTTAACGTCAAGCATTCAGTCTGCTGCTGTAGTTCAAGCTGTTCTCTGTCCTGACTGGTGCAGTATTCCTCCTCTTCCTCTTTCATCTGTACAGGCTCTGGGTCCTCTTGGTCCGGACTGGAGTTCCTCTCCTGGTTACAGGGCTGCTGGTCTGAGAAAACCTTCTCCTCCTCCTTACAGTCATGTTGTTGTGGAAGCTCTGCAGAAACACAGAAGCATAAATATGTCACTGAGATGGAACAGAAAACAAAGAATTAGAATCAGTATACAGTGTATGAAAGAGCCAAATCTGAGGACGTTCTGTGAGAGGGATGTAATATTTATATTTGAGATAAGTTGAAACATAAAAAGAACAAGTAGAATCAAGATTATAATCTGTATAAAAGACTAATATTACTTTATGAAAATATAGCGGCAATATTACAAAACTAATGGCATAAAATGTGAGACCAAGTCAATATGAGAGAAAGAAACAACTTCACTCAGTGTGTCTGTGGTCTTGTTTAAAACATCAGTGTAGTGGATTAGTCAGGAAACGCGATGAAGCCTTTTGTTTGTGCTGTGTGAAACTGACGATTGAGTAAAAAGAAGCAATTCAGTCCTCATTTGTGAGGTGAATCTGATTATCCTGTCTTCCTCTGCACAAAGTGAAAAAGGATTGCTGGTGCTGTGCACTGGGCATCTACTTTTGTTTGAGATCACAAGACTAAAGTCAAGGGCAAAAGAGATACAATTTTACAGTTACCATAAGTGGTATACTCAGTAGGGTTGGGTATCGTTTGATTTTGAACGATTCCGATTCCGATTCCTCATTTCGAATTCGATTCCTATCGATTCTTTATTTCGATTCTTTTAAAAGGCAGGATATCATAAAAAAAAAGCATGGTTTGAATGAGGGCGCTAACTGGAGCTCTTCTTTTTGGATGTAATTTCTGAACTTCTCCATGAATTTTTAAATCATATTAACTTTTAGGAACTTTACTATGAATTTCTCACAGGGCTATTTTCAATCAGTATATAAATATCATTTTTTGTTGTCAGGTCGTTTGTCTATGAAAAAGCACAAGGGCTAACGTTAGTTGGATATTTAAGTTGACCCACCGTACTCAGTGCAATTTGTTTACCGCTTCAAAGTTAGCAGAGGACAGAGGTAATTTATTGTTTCACTTATCTGATCCTGACTGGTTAGCGGAAGACAAGTGTTGTGCTGTAGAATGCACCCCTGCCGTAGAATGCCTCCCCTCCACTGACTAGCTTCTTAAAGTGGAAGACAATGATCTCATATTTAAAAAAACACGAGTATTAGATCATGACAACATGTCAAATGGAGCAGTAAACTTTCGTTTTGTTTGTATGTGTCTCAAAAATGCACACATAAAGGTGTACTTGGGTATATAAATTGTACAGTAAGCTGTTAATGTAGAGAACATTATATTTTCCGGACAGTAAATATTCAGAATCAGAGGGCTATTGTTTTCGGCATATCTGAATAGCCTGAATGAAATCATTAAAGGCACACGCTTTAGATTCCGTTCAACGATAAGAAAAACTTGGATTGTTTCGCCTTGTTGTGTACTTTCAACCGCGCTCCCGTCAGGGGTGCATTCAACAGCAGGGGTGCATTCTATGGCATAACACCGGCGAAGCGCGTCAAAGACGAGCACTCGGGTATTTCTCCTCCATGAATCCTGAGGTGTTTAATCATGTTGGTCGTTTACCCTCCTTTGCATGATTTAACTGTATTGCTAATGTTGCATTGAGATAAGAGTTCATTCTTCCTGCTAAAGTTAGCCAAACTTTTGACCAACGAAGAAGAAGCTGCCGAGCACCAACGAGGACGGAGCGTATGAGACGAAGTCACACATGAGAGGAGAGAGACAGAGAGAGATTACATTGTAACCCACAGCGGCTGCATTGCTGTGGGTTGCAATGTACTTTCTCTCTCTGTCTCTCTTCACTTTCTGTGTGGCTTCGTCTCATACGCTCCGTCCTCATTGGTGTTAAGCGGCTTCTTCTTCGTTGATTTTCGGCGGCTATTTCTTCCGGTCGGCGGACTCCGGCATCGAAACTTGGAATCGAAATTTTAATATTTGAACGATACCAGAGGAATCGAAGTTTTAGTCTCGATTCCCATCGATTCTCGATACCCAACCCTAATACTCAGGGTGTTCAAAGGGGGCAGGGGTGAAAAAAGAAACTCTAGCAAGGTAATGTAATAAACAAAAATAAAGTCACAAAATGTGAGACCAAGTCATCAGAATTAGTTATTCTCTTACTAATGCAGGGCTGTTCCTCTGCCTTAAATCACATTATTTACAAAGTAGCCGGGAGGAGAAGCAGCCCTGCTTTAAGCCGAGCTCATGCTTCAGTATTCAGTCTACACGTGGTTTTTCTCACCTATTCTGTGTAAGTGAATGTGAGGTTTCCAAACCAGATCCAGCAGTCTGCGCTGACGCTCCAGCTCCTCCTCGTACTGGACCAGAGTTCTGTTAAAAACTCCCAAAATGTCTTCAGCAGCAGAAGCGAGCCGCTCGGTCACAAACCCTCTGAGAGATTCAGCTGCAGACATCGTTGATTTGTTACGGTTTGTAAAGAAAGCTGCGATGTGAAAACGGAAACATCCCCATATATCGCTGTTTGTTCTGCTTGTTTACTTCCGGCGCGTGTCACACCGGTAAAGTTCCGTAAGCGGAGATGCGGCAGCCAAAAGTTCCGCCCTCCTCTTCGTCTCCTCTCCGTTGCCCCCCACAGTTTCAATTATCTTCAACTTTAATGCAATGATTCATAAACGTGTGTAATGTGGGCACGCCTCCTGGTCAGGGCACGTGCTGCTGAATTTTGTAGTAATTGTAAACCTGAAATAATGATAATGGGAAGACCAGAAAGCAGGGCACAACAGTAGTCTAAACAACAGGTGATAGAAGCATCCATAAGCGTCTCTATGTTGGCCAGAGAGAGAATGGGACGGACTCTGGCAATGCTCTTTAGGTGTCAGCGCAGAGTCAAAATTTACACCCAGGTTTTTCACTTGTGCTGATGGATTAAAAGATAGTGCTTGTAGTTTGGGTAAAAAAAATTCTTTCTGGGTCAATGACTAAAACTGGTTAAGGTGGAGAGAGTTCTCTGCCATCCAGGATTTGATATCTGAAATGCAGTTAAAAAGAGCATCTATTGGCCTGGTGTCATCAAGAGACACAGAGATGTAGAGCTGCATGGCATCGGCATAGCTGTGGAAGTTGGTTCCGTGTTTCTTGATGACACCACCAAGAGGGAGCATGAACAGGTTAAAAAGCACAGGGCCTAAAATCGAACCCTGGGATACACTACATGTGACTTTATGGACTTTGGGGGAGCACATGTTTACACTTACCCTGAATCTTCTGTCTGTGAGGTAGGAGATGAACCATCTGTGAACAGCACCTGAGAGGCCAAGGGTTTTTAGGCGAGTTAAAGGAATAGTGCAGTCTACTGTATCAAAGGCAACGCTAAGATCCAGCAGAACCAACACTGTCACCTTTTGTGTGTCACAATTTGATCGAAGATCATTTAAAATCTTTACCAGGGTGGTTTCAATGCTGTGGTTCACCCTAAAACCAGACAAAACTTATGATCATCTAAAAATGATTTAAGTTGGATAAAAATTAGTTTTTCCAAAATTTTACTTAAAAATAGTAAATTCGACACTGGTCTGTAATTGTATAAATTGTTAAAATCTAAATTGCTTTTCTTCAGCAGGGGCCTCACCACTGCCACTTTAAAGGCAGCGGGAAAGGCCCACTGTCTGAATTTCACTTTGGGTATGATGAATTGAGAATACATGAAAGTTTAATTTTCTAAGTTAAACTGTGGTAAAATAAATAAATAAATAAATAATTTCTGTCATCGTGTTTAAAAGCTTTTCTCTGAAAGACTCATAAAACGACTTAAAATATGAGGTCAGGATAGGATATAAAAGACATGTGTTGGGCCACACTGAGGGGAAAACTTTATCCAGCACCTCAGCATCAACCAGCACAAAACTGTCCAGTGTTTCTTCAGGTAAGGACAAACACTCAGACGTGTTAAAAGCAGTAGTTTGACTTGATAAAATGTCATATCTCATTGTGTTTATCTTCTCCATGAAGTGGTCTGCAAATTCCTCACAGAGGGAGTCAATGGAATTAAAATGACAGTTACTAAAATCAGGGTTTAAAATGTTGTCAATGGTTAAAAAGAGAAGTTTGGCCCATAATATATGGCCCATGTCTCTGGCTCATTGAATTCATCACAAACTTTAGCTTTTTGCTCCACTTTTAAATTGATGCTTTGTTTTTAAATTTGTGCCCTTGAAGCAGGAATAAAGTTAAAAACTACTTTCCTTCATTCACTAATGGTACTCCTTTTGTAACAACTTTTCTTTAACTGATAGGAGTGCTGTTGGTACTTCCAAAATCGTTTTCAGTAAAGAATACAAGGACCTCAAACGGGCTCAGGTCCAGAAAAGTCTCTAGTGTTCATGGATCCTGTTTCTATCTGGTTTCCTCTTTGCAGCGTTCAGTTTAACCTCATTTCTGGATACATTGAGGAACTTTGTCCACAGTCAAAGGTTTTGAAGTGATTTTGAGCCTGTGCAGTGATTTCCATGCCAGAGTCTTGTCTGTTTTTAATGCAGTGCAGTCTGGGGACCTGAACCAGGACCATCCAATTTTGGTTTAAGCTTTGTCCTCTTTTGTTTCACTTCTATAAGACCAGGATACAAATGCATTACTATGAATTTTGTTTTGACAGTCCAAGTTTATTGGTCACCATATTTTCATCACCACACCTTATCAGCATAACAGCTACAGACATCTAAATCAAGTTTGTTGTAGATTACCATATAAAGAAGTTATAGCCAACCAAAGTAGCTCTTCAGGAGAAAAGAAACATTTGTTGAGCCGGAGGAACTAAACAGGACTCCACAGAACAAGTATTACAGTCAGAAAGTCACAGTAAAATGTATCTTAACTGTTGGATTAACTAAACACACAGATGGTATTTTATTAGCTGAGAGCTCATCTCTCTAACATGCCTTGTGTAAGGTTGAACTTGCACAGAACAGAGAATCCAGTTCGCATACACTTCAACAGTATTCTGACTTCACACAATAACATTTGCTTCTGATTTCAGTAGGCCTGTCACGATAACAAATTTTGCTGGACGATAATTGTGCTACAAATTATCGCCGATAAACGATATTATTGACACCGTTTTTTAAATTATAGATATTGATATTAAATGGCATAATAATGCGAGTACACGTGTCAAAAGTGATAAACTTTAATTTCACCCACGACGAAGACGTAACGTTGACGAGCTAAACATAAGTCGGAGATGACTAAAATGTGAAGAGACGAAAGTGCGTTTACGTTGATGGGACGAGACGAAAATGACAGAGTTGCAAAACTCAGTCAGTTAAACGCTAAACATATAGGAACAGCTTCAGTCCGCTCTGACAGCTCTCATCATCCTGCTGTGCTCCTCAAACACACAGACACACGCGCGCGCACACACGTGGAGTTATGTGGTTGACGAAAACAAAACTGGTTTAAAGCCGAAATATTCCCAGCTGTCGTGTTCATTCTGTTAGCTTGCTTTTCACTCACGACGCTCACTTGCAGCACTGTATCCAAAAGTCTGTGTCTGTGTGCCTGTGCGCGCCAGCCCCCTTGTGACAAAGACACTGAATGACTGACAGGAGGGTTCACTAACTCCGTTCATTCCGCTATAGAGCCAACGCCCCCAGGTGCCGAGAAAAATGCGCAGAGTGAGACCTCTTCTCTCATCCAGCGTGTTTGGTAAAACAAACGCACGTCAATTATCGAGGCTGGCAAAATGACCGACCTCGTTTTTATTTACTGAGCGATAAGGCGATTTATTGATTATCGCGACGGGCCTAGATTTCAGTCACCAGCTTCTGTGACATTTTTTTGATGGAATTTCCTGCTGCATCTGCCAAACCTGACACATTTTACCTGTGTGGGTTCTTGTGTGATCATCTAAAGAGATCTAACTGCCTAATGATTTCCCACAGGGACCACAGGCTGTTCACCTGTATGGATTGGGGTATGACGATTTAAGTTTGTTTTTCGAGAATACTTTTTCCCACAGGTGCTACAGGAGTACGGTCTCTCACCTGTGTGTGTTCCTATGTGCCGTTTCAGGTTACCTTTACTGCCAAAAGATTTGCTGCATGTTTTGCAGGTGAACAGCTTTTCCCCTGAGTGAAGTAGCATGTGCGCTTTCAAGTTTGAATTCCTACGCAAGTTTTTCCCACAGATGCTACAGGAGTATGGTTTCTCACCTGTGTGTGTTTTCATGTGCTCTCTTAAGTGATCTTTGGTGTAAACAGATTTGCTGCATGTTTTGCAGGTGAACATTTTTTCACCTGAGTGAACTAACATGTGCACTTTCAAGTTAGAATTCCAACGGAAGCTTTTCCCACAGGTGCTACAGGAGTATGGTCTCTCACCTGTGTGTAATCTTGTGTGTTTTGTCAACAGATGTTTGTGCCTAAATATTCTCCCACAGGTGCTACAGGTGTACAGACTGTGCTCTCGGTGTGATTTTGCATGATACGTCAGCAAACGTTCGTATCTGAACGTTTGTTTCTTCTTACCAGTGAGGACACCTAGCTGTGTCTGAAAACTTGAATTGCTTGGAAATGTTTCCCCATTTGTGTCACATCTAAAAGTCTTTTCACCCTGTTGAGGATCAGAGTGAACCTTAGGCTGTTTTGTCTTCCATCTTCTTCTTTTTTTAACTCTTTTTGGGGGGGTTTGTTCTGGTTTTGTAGTTGATTCTAAGTCTTCATGTCTGCCTTTCAGTGGATCTTGGTTTGCAGTCAAGCATTCAGTCTGCTGCTGTGGTTCAAGCTGTTCTCTGTCCTGACTGGTGCAGTATTCCTCCTCTTCCTCTTTAATCTGTACAGGCTCTGGGTCCTCTTGGTCCGGACTGGAGTTCCTCTCCTGGTTACAGGGCTGCTGGTCTGAGAAAACCTCCACCTCCTCCTTACAATCATGTTGTTGTGGAAGCTCTGCAGAAACACAGAATCATAAATATGTCACTGAAATGGGACAGAAAACAGAGAAGTGGAATCAGTATATTGTGTATGAAAGAGCAAAATCTGAGGATGTTCTGTGACAGGGATGTAATATTTTAAGAATTGAGTTGTTATATTAAACACAATTTAGTTCAAATGTTTAAGAATTAAGGTACAATACTGAGATACTCTAGCAAGATAATGTAATAAACAAAAATAAAGTCACAAAATGTGAGACCAATTCAACATGAGAGAATTAGTTATTCTCTAACTAATGCAGGGCTGTTCCTCTGCCTCAGATAACATTATTTACAAAGTAGCCGGGAGGAGAAGCAGCCCTGCTTTAAGCCGAGCTCATTCTTCATTATTCAGTCTAAACGTGGTGTTTCTCACCTATTCTGTGTAAGTGAATGTGAGGTTTCCAAACCAGATCCAGCAGTCTGCGCTGACGCTCCAGCTCTTCCTCGTACTGGACCAGAGTTCTGTTAAAAACTCCCAAAATGTCTTCAGCAGCAGCAGCGAGCCGCTCGGTCACAAACCCTCTGAGAGATTCAGCTGCAGACATCGTTGATTTGTTACGGTTTGTAAAGAAAGCTGCGATGTGAAAACGGAAACATCCCCATATATCGCTGTTTGTTCTGCTTGTTTACTTCCGGCGCGTGTCACACCGGTAAAGTTCCGTAAGCGGAGATGCGGCAGCCAAAAGTTCCGCCCTCCTCTTCGTCTCCTCTCCGTTGCCCCCCACGGTTTCAATTATCTTCAACTTTAATGCAATGATTCATAAACGTGTGTAATGTGGGCCCGCCTCCTGGTCAGGGCACGTGCTGCTGAATTTTGTAGTAATTGTAAACCTGAAATATAGACAGTTGGAGTTTATTGGTCACCATATTCTCTTAACAATCTTCATCAGCATGACAGCTACAGTCATCTAAATCAAATTTGTTGTAGATTGCCATATAAACAATTTACAGTCAACCAAAGTAGCTCGTCAGGAAAAAAGAAACATTTGTTGAGCCAAAGGAATAAAACAGGACTCCATAGAACAAGAATTACAGTCAGAAAGTCACAGTAAAATATATCTTAACTGTTGGATTAACTAAACACACAGATGGTATTTTATTAGCTGAGAGCTCATCTCTCTAACGTGCCTTGTGTAAGGTTGAACTTGCACAGAACAGAGAATCCAGTTCACATACACTTCAACAGTATTCTGACTTCACACAATGACATTTGCTTCTGATTTCAGTCACCAGCTTCTGTGACACTTTTTGATGGAATTTCCTGCTGCATCTGACAAACCTGACACATTTTACCTGTGTGGGTTCTTATGTGATCATCTAAAGAGATCTTCCTGTCTAATGATTTCCCACAGGGACCACAGGCTCTTCACCTGTATGGATTTGGGTATGATGATTTAAGTTTGTTTTTCGAGAAAACTTTTCCCCACAGGTACTACAGGAGTTTGGTCTCTCACCTGTGTGTGTTTTCATGTGCTCTCTTAAGTGATCTTCTGTGGAAACAGATTTGCTGCATGTTTTGCAGGTGAACAGCTTTTCCCCTCAGTGAAGTAGCATGTGCCCTTTCAAGTGTGATTTCCTACGGAAGTTTTTCCCACAGGTGCTACAGGAGTACGGTCTCTCTTCTGTGTGTGTTCTTATGTGTTGTTTCAGGTTACCTTTACGGCCAAAAGATTTGCTGCATATTATGCAGGTGAACAGCTTTTCCCCTGAGTGAACTAGCATGTGCGCTTTGAAGTGTGAATTCCAACAGAAGATTTTCCCACAGGTGCTACAGGAGTACAGTCTCTTACTTGTGTGTACTCTTGTGTGTTTTGTCAGCAAATGTTTGTACCTGAATGTTCTCCCACAGGTGCTACAGGTGTACAAACTCTGCTCTTGGTGTGATTTTGCGTGATTCGTCAGCAAACGTTCGTATCTGAACGTTTGCTTCTTCTCACCAGTGAGGACACCTAGATGTGTCTGAAAAATTGAATTGCTCGGAAATGTTTCCCCATTTGTGTCACATCTAAAAGTCTTTTCACCCTGTTGAGGCTCAGAGTGAACCTTAGGCTGTTTTGTCTTCCGACTTCTTCTTTTTTGAACTTTTTTTGGGGAGGTTTGTTCTGGTTTTGTAGTTGATTCTGAGTCTTCATGCTTGCCTTTCTGTGGATCCTGGTTTGCAGCATCATGAAAGTTGTGTGAAAGGAGCTGTTCTTCCTTTTTTACTTCTGGTTCAGCGTTCTCACTTTCCTGACCGGCTAGATTTAACGTCAAGTATTCAGTCTGCTGCTGTAGTTCAAGCTGTTCTCTGTCCTGACTGGTGCAGTATTCCTCCTCTTCTTCCTCTTTAATCTGTACAGGCTCTGGGTCCTCTTGGTCCGGACTGGAGTTCCACTCCTGGTTACAGGGCTGCTGGTCTGAGAAAACCTTCTCCTCCTCCTTACAGTCATGTTGTTGTGGAAGCTCTGCAGAAACACAGAAGCATAAATATGTCACTGAGATCAGACAGAAAACAAAGAATTAGAATCAGTATACAGTGTATGAAAGAGCAAATTCTGAGGATGTTCTGTAAGAGGGATGTAATATTTTAAGGACAGAGTTGTTATATTAAACACAATTAAGTTAAAATGTTTGAGAATTAAGGTACAATACTGAGATGCTCACGCAAGATAAAGGACATAAAAAGCAATTGGCAACACAATGCAAAATAAGTCATGATGCTATGAAGAAAAGAGTGGTAAGATAAGTTGTAACATAAAAAGAACAAGTAGAATCAAGATTATAAACTGTATAAAAGACTAATATTACTTTATGGGAATATAGCGGCAATATTACAAAAATAATGACGATTGAGTAAAAAGAAGCAATTCAGTCCTCATTTGTGAGGTGAATCTGCTTATCCTGTCTTCCTCTGCACAAAGTGAAAAGGAGTGATGGTGCTGTGCACTGGGCATCTACTTTTGTTTGAGATCACAAGACTAAAGTCAAGGGCAAAAGAGATACAATTTTATAGTTACAATAAGTGGAATACTCAGGGTGTTCAAAGGGGGCAGGGGTGAAAAATAATTAAAAGGGCAACCGTTGTTTGCCATGAGTCACTGTGACATATTAGATCAATAGATAGTACTCTGATACCCAGAGGGGAAAATGTGGTAACACAATCCTTGCATAACTACCAAACACCTAACCCACTAAAAACACTTAATTTACATTTTATAGACTGCAACAGCATCCAGAGGGAACTTGGTCAAAATTTATTCACTTAGTCACTCTAATGTACTTGGTTTACAGTTACAACAGGAAAGTTCCGTTTACGTTTTGCAACTGCAAAAGCATTCAAAAGGTACTTTGTCATAATATTGTAAGCACATCCAGTGGGTGATTGACCCAGAAAAGCAGAATGTTATATTTTACCAATGTGGCGCTAAAAGCCGGTGCTTTCTTTTGTTTGCAAAATTGGACTTTGGCTTGATGGACTGCTGTGGGGTGACGCAACTCAAGGAAGAACATTTATGATCATTTCTTCATGGAAATGCAATCGGACCGAGACGCAAAGGCAGAAGAACTACCATGTCTGCGGTGCAAAATGATTAATATGATGATAAATATTAATTCTGGGAAATGATGAAGTAATGATCATAAATGCTCTTCCTTGTGCTGCTTCTTCCTGCTGCAGTGGATGGACTCGCCAGAGGTCTCCGTACAAACAAGTGGCTGCTGGAAGAGAGAGGGTAAGTTGTGCTTAGTCTCTTTGCTAAAGAAATTAGGCAAAGTTAAAAAGATGTCTGGTGGCTAGTGCTGTGACTCTATATGTACTGTTGATGAAGTTAGGTGCTGTTCTGAGCATTATTTTTGCCAATAGAGTGGCGTTTTGGTTGAGCCTGTGGATCTCTGTATTGCTGTCTGCAGTCATTACTTAAGTTGGTATAACTAGAGAACCAAGTGGTCGGCAACATTAATCTCTCGAGGGGGTGTCTAACTCGGTGTAACAGTGTGTTTGACCCTAACTTAATTTTACGCCGGAATATCCCTTTAAGCCACATTTAGGAAGCACAGTTATTCTCTAACTAATTCAGGGCTATTCTGCTACTTAAATCACAGAATTTATTCAAAGAAGCTGAGAGGAGAGGCAGCCCTGACATTAACCGAGCTCATGCTTCATTGTTCAGTCTAAACTTGTTTTTTCTCACCTATTCTGTGTAAGTGAATGTGAGGTTTCCAAACCAGATCCAGCTGTTTGCGCTGACGCTCCATCTTCTTACCAGTGTGGAAACCTAGCTGTGTCTGTAAACTTGAATTGCTCGGAAATGTTTCCCCATTTTTGTCACATCTAATAGTCATTTTACCCTCTCGAGGATCATAGTGAACCTTAGGCTGTTTTGTCCTCTGACTTCTTCTTTTTTGAACTTTTTTTGGGGGGGTTTGTTCTGGTTTTGTAGGTGATTCTGAGTCTTCATGCTTGCCTTTCTGTGGATCTTGGTTTGCAGCATCATGAGAGTTGTGAGAAAGGAGCTGTTCTTCCTTTCTTACTTCTGGTTCAGCGTTCTCACTTTCCTGCCCGGTTAGGTTTAACGTCAAGTATTCAGTCTGCTGCTGTAGTTCAAGCTGTTCTCTGTCCTGACTGGTGCAGTATTCCTCCTCTTCCTCTTTCATCTGTACAGGCTCTGGGTCCTCTTGGTCCAGACTGGAGTTCCACTCCTGGTTACAGGGCTGCTGGTCTGAGAAAACCTTCTCCTCCTCCTTACAGTCATGTTGTTGTGGAAGCTCTGCAGAAACACAGAAGCATAAATATGTCACTGAGATGGGACAGAAAACAGAGAAGTGGAATCAGTATACTGTGTATGAAAGAGCAAAATCTGAAGACATTCTGTGACAGGGATGTAATATTTTAAGGACAGAGTTGTAATATTTAACACAATCAAGTTAAAATGTTTAAGAATTAAGGTACAATACTGAGATACTCTAGCAAGATAATGTAATAAACAAAAATCAAGTCACAAAATGTTAGACCAAGTCAACATGAGAGAATTAGTTATTCCCTTACTAATGCTGGGCTGTTCCTCTGCCTTAGATAACATTATGTGCAAAGAAGCCGAGAGGAGAGGCAGCCCTGCTTTAAACCGAGCTCATGCTTCATTATTCAGTCTAAACGTGGTGTTTCTCACCTATTCTGTGTAAGTGAATGTGAGGTTTCCAAACCAGATCCAGCTGTTTGCGCTGACGCTCCAGCTCTTCCTCGTACTGGACCAGAGTTCTGTTAAAAACTCCCAAAATGTCTTCAGCAGCAGCAGCGAGCCGCTCGGTCACAAACTCTCTGAGAGATTCAGCTGCAGACATCGTTGATTTGTTATGGTTTGTAAAGAAAGCTGCGCTGTGAAAACTGGATCATCCCCAGATATCTTAGCTTTTTCAAAAGAGTCGCTCTGCTTGTCTATTTCCGCCGTGTGTCACACCGGTTAAGTTCCGTAAGCGGGAATGCGGCAGCTAATTGTTCCGCCTTCCTCCTTGTCTCCCTTCAGTCGGCATCATAGACTGTAGTGCCACCTATCTATGGAATCATACTGTTCTGACCATTATTTGTGACTACGAGTGTCTTCTTGGTTGAGCTTTTGGGCCGTTGCTGAAGTTGGTATAACTAAAGAAGCAGTCGGCAACATTCATCTCTCGAAAGGGTGTTATGGTGTGTTTTACCATGGCTTAAAATTACGCCACAATATCTTGTTCATGATAAAAACCTTTACATAAAAACTTAATTTTTTCGTCACTTGTGTTGTCTTTGACCAATATTAAAATTTGTTTGATCATCTAAAACAAAGGTCATAACTTGACCTTTTTAAATCAAAAATCAAGTGGGGGTGTATGCCCTAAAGTAGAACGTCTACTCAATATAAAGGAAAGGTCTTATCTAAAAATCTAGATGGATCTATGGAGCCAGAGAATGATTCCATAGAATTTGGAGTAATTGTAGACCAGACCAGGTATGGATTTCATAAAATAGTTTCTAATGACAAGTCTGTGTTTACTGCAGAACTACTGGCAATCCTTTGAGCATTGTGGTGGATAGAGCAGGATTTTCGCTATGGGGTAGTAGATCCCTCCCCCACAGTTTCAAACAATCCTGGAGGAAACCCTGGAAAGGTTACCAAAGCATCCAAAGTACTGATTGCTCTGATTCTGCAGCTGCACTAACCTTTGAGAAGAGGTAATATTGTCTGGCCTGTTCAGAGTAGAAAAGGCTGGCTGTGAGGTAAAGTTTTGTTGAGTTCCTGGACATTCAGTACAGGGAAACAAAAAAGTAGACATAATAGTAAAAGCAGCCCTCAAGAAAGAGCGTGTGGAGAATGAATGGCAATGAGAATGGGAAAAGGAAAAGAGGGGAGCCCACTATGTCTCTTTTCACCCAAAATGGAGAAAAAATTTATTCATTATCAAGGAAACCAAAAAGATTCTGTTAAATATGCAGATTAAGCCTGGGACACTATGGATTAAAAAAAAATTGTATACCATTTATAAACATAGTAGGCTACAGGGCTTTGTGGGTGTGGCCACCCTGAAACAGTGAAACATGTTTTGATTGAATGTAGCTCCTATGGTGCTGAGAGAAGAGACCTTATAAAAACACTATGAGACCTGGAATTGGTTTCGTTTTCTATTACGTCATTCTTTGGCCTCCACATAGTAATTACAATGGACAACTTAGCTCTGCCTTCCGTCAGTATACAGATTTGATGCCAAAAAGCTCTCTGTATTTCAGTGATTTTCTTGGTTTCCTGAAACCAAACTTGCGCAGTAGCGTTGTACGCACTCCACCACTTGCACAGTAGCATTGTACACATTCGGCGGGAGAGTCATCAAGAGCTGCTTTGATGACGCTCGGCTCAGCGTATCCAGTGAGCTACGGAATCTTTGTACGCTCATAGGCTGTATCAAGTGTCAATCATAGAAAACATGAACCCCCTAATAACTTTTAAAAATAGAGCTGTACTGAAAAAAAGAGGACTTGAGCACAACTCAATCGTGGGGGTCCTTACACACTGGGGCCGATGCAAATATAGAACGTGAAATTACGAAATATTCGGAGGCGAATTTTGACGCGCCTGACTATACACATCAAGCCCGATGTGATTTTGTGACTTTCTGGGAGGAAAAATATGCATCCCGGTGAAGACTTTTCCCGGGGAAAGTCCCGCCTCCTTCGCCTCTGATTGGCTAGAAAAGCTGGAAACGTCATCACACGCTCAAGCGAAACGGTCAGCACTTATAGTCTATCAGATGTACTGAGTCGGGGCCAGTACCAGATAAGCACATTAAACTATGGTAACAACCGTTAGCTTACGTTAGCACAGATGAAAGTTAAAACAAAGACGTTTAGCAAACTGTTAAAGCACACAAACCATCTTCATATGAGAGATCCAACGCTATGACTCTCCACAAGTTGTCCTTCAGGTCGTTATCTTTGTAATGTTTGTGTCTTTTATCAAAAAGCACTCTGTTTTCCGACACGTAAACAATCAGCCGGTCGGCCATGTTGGAAATACCGGGGAATCAGACGTTGCAACAACAGGCAATCTGATTGGTCAGAAGTGGACACACAGTATGCGAAACTTTAGAAAAATCGACCATGATCCGAAAAATATCTCGCAATATCGCAGGACGGGAAAACGTCACTGATGTGAACGTTTGTAATGACAGGATACGGGTTCGAAAAAAATATTGACATCCGAAATAATTGCATGACAAAAACAGTCCCGGTGTGAAAGGACCTTTACAGTAACTACATGTCAACATTGCAAGCAGGGGGGAGAAAAATAATATTCTGTGTAATAAATTTCTAAAGTTTGTCCACAGCCCCTTTAAGCTTTGCTGGCGGAGGCGGGATTTATGACCTATACTGCAGCCCGTCAACAGAGGGTGCTGTTCTTCTGCCAACAGATTTTGGCAGTAGTATTACAGTTCCTGCGCGATACAGGACTGTATTAAAGAATGAGACGAGATTGTGACACCTAGTCCGTCCAGTGGAGAGCAGTTGTACGCCTAGTAACGTCCAAACTACCGGAAATACCAGAAGTAGTAGAAGAAGAAGAAGACGAGGAAGCCGCAGTTCCACCTTCGGTATTTTTTCAGTGTGACACAGCGGAAGTACACCAATAGGGTCTCTCCTGCACGGCTTGGGGGTGAACAAGGAGGGTTTTTTGTTGGTTTCTTTACAAACCGTAACAAATCAACGATGTCTGCAGCTGAATCTCTCAGAGGGTTTGTGACCGAGCGGCTCGCTGCTGCTGCTGAAGACATTTTGGGAGTTTTTAACAGAACTCTGGTCCAGTACGAGGAAGAGCTGGAGCGTCAGCGCAGACTGCTGGATCTGGTTTGGAAACCTCACATTCACTTAAACAGAATAGGTGAGACAATGAACTACATCTGGTATTATTGCAAAGAGAAAAAAAGCGCGGTCTAAAGTTCGATCACAGTGGTTTGCATATAGAGACTGAGTGTGAGGACAACATTGACGAGAATGATCTGAAATAACGACAGTAAAGTCACTATTTTATAATATTATCAGTCTTTACGTAGTTTTAAAGGGTTGCAGGTACAGAAAGCAAATAGCTGTCTGATCACAGGAGGTTTTCATGTATTCATGAAACCAAATCAGTTATTATTAAAGCTCATGTCAAGACCTTTGTGTTTGTTCTGGCACTCCCCGAGTACCAAAGCAAGATTTTCTGACTTTATCATCTATTTTTTATTAGCATTTTCAGACAGACATCTCACCCTGCAGACTGCAGACAGTTAAACATATATCACATATTTATAACATGTGAAAACTGCTGTTTCTTAAACTCAAGCGAGTTTTAAAAAAGGATAAGGAACTTGTCAGTTTGATCTCCTCAGTCCCTTTGTTCCAGAGAGTTGGGGCCCCAACAGAAAAAGCCCGGTCCCCCTTTTGTCCTCAGCCTGGACTGCTGAAATCCTGTTAAAGGTGGGGTAGGCAGGAATCTGTTAAAGAAGCATCCTTTTGTGGTGTATATACAAAAAGCTTTTGACATCAGTCAATAGCTATTAGTCATTGATGAAATTTGGTAATATAACAATATTGCTGTGTTTTGTAACATCTGTGTAGTCAACATTTAATATTTTTGAGCGCTCTGCTCTTTCTGACTGTAAACAAAGCCGTTCTCCGCCTCCCCCAACCTGATTGGTTGTGAGGCAGACGCTGCTCCCCCGTGTCGTTCATGAGCTCAAACAAACTTAGTGTGCTACAATATCGGACAGTAGAAACAACCAGAATGTACAGAAAATTGTCTGAATCCTCCTTTAGCCACGACTGTCAACACAAGCAAGAAAACAAAGTAAATACCGGAGACTCTGGTGGAATAACGGGCGCTTAAAACAGAGGTAGACCGGACAAGAGCTAAAAGCCGGGTCAACAATAATGGGGGACTCTTTGGGATCTTACGGACCCTGTAACCTTTCTGCTGGACAGGTAAACCGCTTTAACAAAGTAAGCCAAGTGTCTGTAACAGAAGTGTTTCTTGTCAAACGGGACCTGCTGCGTGTTGTAGTGCCGCTAAACTGTTTACCTTGGGTCCTGGACTATGTCACTTTATCCTAGTTGTAGAAGTCCTGCAAACATTGTGTTTGCTGGTAGGCATCTACAGTAGCACCAATGCTTTTTACTTTAACGTTGACTGGGCTCCATTTGTAATTATCTGAAGATTTTATCTGCATTATATCTGAATTCAATTGAAACCATACGAGCGAGCAGGAGCGTCTGTTTGTGGGCGGGGCTTGTTGGAGCAGAAACTGAGGGGAAAGGAGGAGCTGAGAGGAAAACTGGTTGGGAAGGGTAGTGTTTACATTCAAGATTTCTCCCAAAAACTGGCACTTCCTCAGATCCTGCCTACCCCACCTTTAACGGGTAAAGATAAGAATGCATTTCATTGGGAAAAGATAATGGTGATATCAGCCCATTAATCAACCCAATAAACGGGTTAAATGATTGATCTCTACACAGTTGTTTTTTTTTCACACTGCTTATTGCTTATTTTGAAACTATGTCCTGTGTCGCAGGTTTGGACAAAATCCGTCTTTGTGTTCTTTCAACCACTCCCACCCCAAATATAGTGGTTGTGAAAAGTATTAGAATACTAGATGGATCCAAAAAAGACTATACAATGACCTCTTTTGGCCTCTAAAACATGATTTCATTTCCGAATGTTCATGAAATAAGCAGATGGTTGCTCTGAGCACAACAGATATAAGATAAAGTGAATCCTACTGTTTTTATCCAGATTTAACTTTAATATTTGGTATGTCCAGCTTTTGCAACAATCACAACAGCACGTCTTTCTGGCATTGTGTCTGTATATTTCCTGAGAACTTCAAAGCTAATGTTATCCCATGCTTTTGGCAGCTAAAGCCAAAGACTGTCCTTTGAATATACAATAGATCTGTCTAATTTATTTTCCAACTCTTTATATCCATCTTCCTTTGTCTATTTCTTGTGTTATTTTGCAAATTTCAGGTGTTTCACTCTATTTTTCTCTTTCTGTAATGGTTTCTTTGCTGTTATTCTGCCAACAAGCCCTTCTTCTCCCAGTTGTCGATGCGCAATTCTTACACCATAAGTCATTGTATTGTTGATGTGATCACACAGTTCCCCTGAGGTCTTTCTTCAACACACCAGGAAAGTGTCTTAAAGTGACGTACATCAGAGTTGTTCTTCTTCTGATGTTAAAGCTTTTCACCAACTATAGAAACCTCTAGCCTGATAAAATCTGTCATTTAGGACTCAAAAAACAAATATGTCTTCTCAATAATACACCTTAAGTTTAAAAATGTTGTGATTTCATTGTTTTTGAAAGATTGGAGCTTGATGCTTAAAATTTTACAAACTCTTTAACTCATAACCTTTGCAGGTTTTCTTTTCTTGGACATCTTCCTAATATCATGCCCCACTAACTCAGTCCATGTCTCTGTCCCATTTCAGCGGTATACTTACGCTTTTATCTGTGTTCCTGCAGAGCTCCCAACGCATTACTGTAAGGAGGAGGAGGTTTTCTCAGACCAGCAGCCCTTAAGCCAGAATAGGAACTCAAGTCTGGTCCAAGAAGACCCAGAGTCTCCACAACTCAAAGAGGAACAGGAGGAACTGTGCATTAGTCAGGACAGAGAGCAGCTTGAACCAGAGCAGGAGACTGAAAACTTGACGTTAACTCCAACCTGTCAGGAAAGTGAGAACACTGAACCAAAACTGAGAAACAATCACCAGCTCTTTTCTCCCAACTTTCATGCTGCTACAAACCAAGATCCAAGTCAGAGCAGAAAGATTCACTGTGATCCTCACCAAGGTAAAACGTCTGGCATTTCTACGGGATGAAAAAATTCAGCTCAATGATCTTCCTTTCATTCAATTTATCAGGGAATAGAGACATAGCCTAGCAACAGGTATGCCTCAACGACAGGATCATGGATAATTTTTTTTAGTAATCATGATATCTGCCTCAATCCTGTATTTAGCACCCCATTGAGCTGTTTTATTCACATGTTTTTATTGATATCATACTCCTCTTTTCATGACATTTTACGGCAATGAAAGCGATGAGGTAAAAAAAGTCCTGGTCGTCTAAAGTGAAGAGAATATATTATAAATTATATATACTGGTACTTTCTGGTACAAGTTACCATCCTGTCTCTCTGGTGTGTTTATGCTTGTGTTTTGTGTTCCCACAGAGCCCCCAAGTGCTCTCTCCAGTCTGGACCCAGAGCCTCCTCAGATTAAAAATGAACAGGAGGAGCCTTGCATAAGCCAGGACCGAGATCAGCTTGAACCAGAGCAGGATACTGAGAACTACAAGTTTACTGTTACTAGTGAAGAAAGCAAGAACTCTAAACCAGAAGTTCCTCACCACTCTAATAATGTTTATTTTCAAGATTCAAAGAAAGACAAGCACGAACAGTCAGAAACCAAACAGAAGGAAAAAGTTGATGAAACAAGTCAATCCACTTCATCAGGTGAATTTTTGGTTATTTTGTCAAGATTATCAGGGGTTCCCTCTGATCCTCAGCAAGGTGAAAAGACTTTTAAATGTGACACATGTGTGGAAGTCTTTAGGTATAAGTCAGAGTTAGAGACTCATCTGCGTGTCCATAAAGGTATGAAGACACATACCTGCAAAATCTGTGGGAAAGTTTTTGGTTACAAGTCTTTACTCACCATTCACAGTCGGACACACTCAGGGGAGAAACCATATTCTTGTAAAACATGTTCAAAACGCTTTCGACTCAGCAGGACACTGGTAATCCACCTGAGAACACATACAGGTGAAAAGCCTTACTCCTGCAGCACCTGTGGGGATAGATTCTCTCGATTGTCACATTTGAAAAGGCACAGTCGGATCCATACAGGTAAGAAGCCTTTTACCTGCAGAGCATGTGGGAAATCTTTCAGAGAGAAAAGCTTCCTGTCACTCCACATGAGGACACACACAGGTGTGAAGCCACATACCTGCAAAACATGTTTAAAATCCTTCAGATTTAGTAAGACATTAGCTGTACACATAAAAACACACACAGGTGAAAAACCGTACCCCTGCAGCATCTGTGGGAAAAGATTCAAACAGAACTCACATCTAAAAAGGCACCGTCTGATTCACACAGATGAGAGGCCTTTTACCTGCACAAAATGCAACAAATCCTTCAGACAGAAAACTGTCCTGACAGAGCACATGAAGACACACTCAGGTAAGGGGTTATTTTCATGCACTATATGTGGAAAAAAGTTTATGTCAAGCTACACACTCAAAGTGCACTTTAGGATACACACAGGGGAAAGGCCTTACCCCTGTAGCATATGTGAGAAAAGTTTCATTCGCAACTCAGAGTTAAAAACGCACCTTCGGATCCATGGAGATGAGAAACCGTTTAACTGTGAACTCTGTGAGAAAACTTTCAAATTCAAAGGTGCGCTGAAAGAGCATAGAAAGACTCACACCAAGGAGAAAACACACACCTGCACCCTCTGCCAGAAATCGTTTCAGCGAGGTTCAGATTTGAATATACACGTTCGGATTCATACAGGTGAAAGGCCATATATCTGTAACATATGTGGCAGTTCTTTCAAATCTAGCAGTGAACGGGGTCGACACATCAAGAAAGTCCACATATGTGAGAGGCCACACTCCTGCAGCACCTGTGGAAAAAGATTCTTTGAGAGGACTGTGCTGAAAAGACATATGAAAAAGCACACAGCTCAAAGCCATACACCTGCTGCACCCATGGAAGACCATTCAGTAGGAGGTAACAGCGCCTGATTAGAAATCATGCTCCAGGTCTCTGGGGGTTAGGTGATAATTAACAGTCCACATAAGAAGAGCTCATATAGTTAGGAGACTTTACCTTTGCAGCATCTTCTGGGAAATGCACCGTTATATATCTGAGTTTGTGGGTCATTTGACACCAATTGCTGAAAGTCACTGTGCATGTAGATATTAATGATATTAATGTTCAAATGAGAGCTGCACCTAAAGAGGGCAAAGTTGGCTGGCCAATTGAACAGTACAAACCACAGTCTGCAAACCAGCTTCTGGTAGTTTTTTAAAAATATGACTGGACATTTTGCCCTCAGTGGAGAGCAGGGATACATAGCTGGGTAAAGGCGTCCATATATATCCAGAAAATATGAAAACTTCATTTTTTATATTAAAAAAATTGTTTCCAGGAAATTCAAACCCTTGGAGCTGCACCTGTATGTAAATATTAGGGGGATGATGTTAAGCTGCATCTTGACAGGGGATTTACATTTCATGGATGCAGTTTAATTTTAACAGTGTTTGCAGCTATTTTTACTTTTCTGTGCATGTATCAAAGATGTTAAGTCTTGACCATTGCTATTCACTTTTAACAGTCAAGAATTTTTTAGATTAGTTTATCTTGATAAAATTACCTTATATTGTTTGATGATGAAGGTCTGACATGAACTACACAGAATGAAGACAATGTACCACATGCATCTGCCTGTACAGATAAAGGTGATAAAGCTGCTGCTTTTGGTTATTTTGTTGTTTGAACTGCGACATGTCAGTGCTGTAGGAAATCCTGTCCACTCTGTCAATTTTCTGTGTATACACAATATCTGATTAAAAAAACATTTACTAGTACACTAAAAATAAAAAAGGTATTTTTTTTAATAACAAATATTAAATTTTTTAAGAGCAGATCACTGTCCATCTGTAATTTTAACATGTATGCCCGAGTAATTAAAACAATGCTGAGATTCTGCTCAGCTCAGTCTGTACTTTACATACAGTACTCATAATAGAACAATTGTCAAAAACTGGAAAAAGTAAAAAAAAAAAAAAGGATGGAAATTCAGTAAAAACTTAGATTATCACTGAGATGAGAGATTTTAGAACCAAAGACTGAAATCTTAAAGAAAAAAGTTTTAAGATTACAATTCTAGAATTTAATACAGAGTTACAATCAAGAAATAAACAGAAGTCACTTCTATGGATAGAATAGTACAAAGTATAAGAAAAAAAAATACTTTGTACTCAAATATGAAATTCTCAGTTTTTAGATGGTAATTATTGAGATGAAAAGTCATGATTTAATCAAGAAGTCAAGGAAGTGGATTCAACAGTCACCAATATGGCAAAACAAGTGAAATGGGTTAGTAAATTGAAATAATGAGGTAGGATGTTATTATAGAACCTTACAAAAATTAGGTAAACATTCAGCTGTGTATCAGTTCAGGAGGTCAGAGTTGCAGGCTTCTCCTGCCAAGCACTAAATCAGGGGTGTCACACTCAACCACAGCAAGGGCCATAATCTGGATTTAGGTCTAACCTGTGGGCCAAAGAGGGTCAACATTTGAAAAATAGCAATGATTATAAATCATTTGGAAATTCAAATATGAGAGATATGATAAAAAGATAGAAAAAAATATTTTTTTATTCTATTTTTATTTATTGGTTCAAAGGATCAGAGCGTGATATTAAAAATAGAAAAATAATGCATTTAAAGAGCAAATACACGAGAAGACCATTTAAATCAGGTTTAAAAGGTCAAAATATGACTTAAAATTTAAAATTGGAATTTGAAGTATAAAAATGACACAAGTCTAAATACTGAGTTGAACAAAATCAAAGCATGAAATAAAAATCCCAGTCATGTTTGACCTGTAATCTTGAGATGCAAAATTGAAAACATGAAATGAAACACCAAAATTTTTTTCCCCCACTTTCTTGACTACTCATCAAATTTTCCTTACTCTTTAATTTCCCAGATTTTCATGGTTTATTATGGACATTTTTAAATGGTGTTTAAAAGTTTACATTATAATACTGGAGGAAATCCTCAGACTTCATACTGGTGGGCCAATAATAATACAAATACGAATCTTTTTAGTGAACTGATTCTAGTGATTCAGTACATCTAAAAAAACTGCCGTGCCCGTCTCTACTGTACAGCAGAATGTAGGCCTCAGAGGATGAACTGCAATAGCATGTAGCCATCTGTGTGTGGCAGCAATGCACCAAATTGTGCCTAGTCTGCTGGAAATCTAAAGAAGAAGACGAAGAACACGAAGAAAGCTTTAAAGCGAAGAAGAAGAAGAAGAAGCTAACCTCCAGGTTGTAGGAAGTGTTGAGTTCAGTGTGGTCCTTTTACCTGTTTGTGCTTTTTGTCTTTTTTGCATCGATCTAAATACACCGCTGGTAAGTCACAGAAATCATATTTATCAAAGTTGGCGAAGTTAGAAACACTATCGGCTGATAGAGCAACACCCGTAGAGGTAAACAGCTTGTTAGCTTTGGCTAGGCTAAAACTGTCAACTATCTCTGTAAATGTCGAGGTTTCTGTTTTTATGAAACTTTCTCACATTAATCAAAGTAACTTCGCACACTTTTAACTCAACACGCTTTTATTGTCATTGGGATATTTTATTACTGACATATCCATCTCAGGTGTTCATTAAAGTAGGTAAACTTTGGAGAAATGATCTGAACTACGGACTTCGTGAATCAGGAGCTTTGTTTTACTGAAATAAAGACAAATATCTCAGACGAGGAGATATTTTTGTACCAGCAGCACACGCCGAGAGAGAAATCTAACCTTAAACGAGCTTGGTGTGGTTTAATAAGGCTGTTGAGTCTGCCTGAAAGAGCGTTTTTCTGTGAAGTATCCTTGTTAAATGGAGTGGAGTTTGGTCCTGACAGCGTGTCCTCTTCCACGCAGACATCCGTGATAACCTTTAAGATCCCGTGTTTACCTATGGGGCAGGTCTGTGAACAAACCCTCCAAAGAAAACAGTCCTCGGTATCAGATCAGCCTCCTATGGGGCTGACAGAACAAAAAGAGAGAGACAGAAAACGACGGCTAGATCTTTCAAGAGCTCATGTTTTTAGTTAGAGAGCAGATTTATTTATATCTTTACAGATTAATCTGTGCAATCAAGACACTAAATCTCTGAAAATTTTACAAAATAAGTATAGAGAAGAAATCCATGGTTCATGACAACATTTCCATTGCCTTAGGATTTCTGTCCAGCCAACTGTGATAATTTAAAGCTCCTGTAAGGAGTTTTTTGCAACATTTATGGAATAGTATTTATGCCTTTTTATGATAATCAAAAGTAGGACTGGGCGATTATATGATCATGATCGATGATCGTGATAAATTTCAGTTCGATCACAGTGATCAGCTGTGAGCATATTTGCTCGATCAAACATAGCGGAAATGTGCGTCACAACAGCCAATCAGAGTCAAGCTTTTCCTGCTCACTTCTGTAAGTTACCGGAGAAGTAAACAGGAAAAGTAAACAGAATGACCAAACATGGAGCTAAAGGCGGGGTGAGGGCAGCAAAATAGATGTCAGCCGTGACTTTGAGACATTCTTCAAAGATGTTATTGTTGAGAAATTATTCAACGTCGGTTGTGTGGCGGTGGTTCGGGTATCTCCAAAGTGAGGTCGAGTAATTAAGCCGATGTGCAAGGTATGTCGGTGGTCGGTGCCCTCCAACATAACAAATCTGTTTAAACATTTGAAGATGTACTTCCCAAGTGATTATGCGAAAAGCATGGAAATGCGAGCAGAGTCTTCACAGCCTGTCACTGTTGACGGCATGAGTAGCATGAGCAGTTTAGTCACAACTAGCGGAACAGTTACCAGACCAAAGCAGCAATCAATCGTATCATCAAGTTTACATCATCTAATGTTTACATTTTAAGGTGTTTTCATTATTTCTGAGGGGGCGATTTGTTTATTTTGGGTCTTGCATACCTGCAAAAATACTTGGGACTGTGAACTAGTTCAATGTATTGTTTAGAATTTATCTACATTTGTTGTACTGTTGAGTTAAAATGGTTTTTATATTTTTCTAAGTGTATCTTATTCTTTGTTATTTACTTTGTATGTTAGTAACATGTTGAACTAATCTCTAGTTTCTTTAGTTTTTAGTACAGATACTTTAAAACTGGCAGTTTAAAAAAAAAATCGTGATAATAATCGAGATCGGACGATACAGCAAAATATATCATGATCATTTTTTTTGCAAAATCGCTCAGGCCTAATCAAAAGCAGACATCATCATTACTGACATGACTAATGATTAAATTGATTTTTAATATTGGGTGAAGTGGGAGCGAAGAATCAGTCTCTTTATTGTCCCAGAGGGGAAATTAGAATTGCAGCAGGAGCACACAAAGACAGAAACAAGCAATAAAAGAAACACCATACATACACACAAGATCACTAAAAGATAATGTTCAGCCCAGAGCCAATACCAAAACTGGAAAGGATAACTGCCTTAGTAAACTGTGAAAAAGTGTGAAATGCGGGGGTGCCAGCTAAAAAGTTTCAGCTGGCAGCTGGCAAACATTCCTGTTATTGATGTTTTTACACTTTTACAATAAATGATTCAGTTCGTAGTCCAAAGTCAGTAGGATGAGAATTTTTTGTCAGAAGTTTAGCTCAAGCTTGTAGAAGATAAGAGAAGCAAAGACTGGTTTGGCCACTGGGGGCGCCAAAATTTGAGACAAACTGAAAGTTCCTCACTGGAGCTTTAAGACGGGAAGAAAAAATACAAGGTTCATATTCAGGATAAAGAAAATAAAAGGAAAGGAAAGGAAAGACAAGTGGGATCTCCCTTCACAAAAAGCATAATGAGGCTAATCGTTAATTTTATTCTCATAACATCTTGACGTTAATCTCATAATTAAACATAAAGATTTTAGTCATGCTGTCAAATATTTTTACACTGAATTCATTCTCAAACATAAAATCCTTAAATTCTATTTTATTCATGTGACCCTAAAACTCTGCTGTAATTTTGGGCATTGCTAATATACATATAATCTGAATCAGTCACATGTTTTAGATAGATTTATAATAAGTTAATGGATGCAGATTTTATAGAACTTTTTGAAACAATGATAGTGAGATGAATAATAATGGTTTCCTGATTACCACAGTTAGTTTGTGTCATTGATTTCATATTACTGATGTACGAATAAAACCACATGATCACTCTTAAGAAGTTTATCTGTTTGCCGGGCTGCATTTGTCAGTGTTTATAAGATCATGGAAACCAAAAAAAAAGTAAAAACTACGGTTAATTTTTACTTTCACATATGTGAGATATTACGAGATGTAAAGTATGACTATCTGTCTGTGTGTGTGTTTTGATGTATCATGCAGGTGCAGAGTAGACACTACCATCACTTCATTCATCTCACCTGGACCTCCACCCATGTACTGAGTGTGTGTGTATGTCTGTGTGTAAATTTACTCAGTGTCTATGTAAGTGTGTGTGTGTGCGTCACCCCCCCTCAGTCCACCATGTCCCTGTTCCCTTCCACAATCCAGATGAGTCCTCAGGTGTGTCTTCACCTGCTCTGCCTGCTTCTATTCCTCACCGTCTCCTCCTCCACATCAACACCGAGGAGGGACCCAGTTCAAGGTGATCTACCGCTGCCAGGTAAGACTCTGCACCTCCATGTAATAGCAGAAAGTTGGGACACTGTGTAAAAGGTTCATTAAGACAGTGTTTGATGGTTTTAAATCATTGAACACCTATGTAGAACTGATGAAAGTGCAAAGACAACATATCAAATATAAGGGCAGAAAAATGTTGTTTTATGAAAATGATATACTCATTTTAAACTGGAAGCTGACAAAGGGTAAAACAATAAAGTAGTTCCAGGATCATTTTCCCCATCATGTGTCATCAGCTCTTCTTCCCCAATGCTCTATAATCCTTTGTGAACCCAAGAGACCAGTTTCTGGAGACTGAAAGTGAGATGTTGTCCCATTCTTCACCCTTTTTGTCTTGTGATTTCAATCAACACTACAAGATTTCTGGATTTGAATTGCACTCTGAAAGCTACGTGCAATGTGACATTTGCTTATTTAAAAGATGTCCAAGGGATATTTTGCAGATGTAATATCTGGACAATCAAATGTGGGGGTGTTTAGTATATGCAGTACTTGAAGAGCTTCTGTAACCAGTGTGTTATTCACTGCCACAGGCTTGTGCTGCTTTGGTTTTTTATGATTTCTGGATAAATTGTGTTTTTATTCTTTTTCCACAGGTGATAATGCCTCCGTCAGTCCCTCGACGAAGAGCCCTCCTGTGGTGGTTCCATTACCACCACAGAACAATACAGACAGTGGCGTAATAGCCCCAACTCCTGACAGCAAATCAGCAGGACTGAACAGCTTATCCACAGCAACAGCAACCAATCAACATTCAGAATCTCCACCTCCAGAGGTCAATGCTCAGCCTCCTGGACAGACCCTTCCTACCATCGAGGGAGCTCCTGCAGAGGCTACTGTCAACCAATTACCCACCAACCCCACAACAAAGTCCACAACAACAACGCCACCGGCAACAAACGCAAAAACATCTCAACATCTGACAACAACAAAAGCAGCAATAACGACAACCACATCACCCCAAACTTTGAAAACAACGAATGCAACATCACCTCAAGCTCCAATGGCACAAACAACAAATTCAACAAACTTGACGTCAACAATAACCTCGACATCTTCTCCACTAACGACCTCTGCAGTTACCAAAACACCTTCACCACCATCAACACCTTCACCGCCATCAACACCTTCACCGCCATCAACACCTTCACTGCCATTAACACCTTCACCAGCACCATCAACGAAGTCTCCAACCACCACAACATCTTCACCACCAACAACAAAAACCACCAAAGCCATGCAAACCTCTGCAGCAGCACCGACAACCACAGGTGTGAAGATGTCAACTCCATCATCATCATCATCATCAGCCACTAAAACCATGAAGACGCCACCAGCCCAGACCACCCCCAGACTGACCACTATCGCCCCCACAACCCATCAGGAGCAGGTCACAACGGGGACTCTGCGGGTCGCTGTCGTAGAAGTGGCTGGATCTGCTCTGACCCGCCAGTTGGTGGACACGTCATCTCTCCTCGCCGTGCTGCTCTTCGGGCTCCTCTTCTTCTTGGTGACGGTGGGGGTGTTCGTCTCGCAGGCCTACGAGAGCTACAGGAGGAAGGATTACACGCAGGTGGACTACCTGATCAATGGCATGTACAGCGACTCCGGAGTGTGAGGAAGCATGGTGCAAGGGGGGGTGGGGTCGTTTTGGTTCTCGGTTCCAGAATTTGAGGGATGGAAGATGGACTGAACGGTGTCACGGCGTTGATGCTGTGCCTCTAATCGGTCAGTTGGGTTCATTCTTGGTCTTTCTTGAACTGTCTGACAGCTTACTGAACCGTTAAAACTTTGACGCTTATTTGAGCTTATTTCCTTAAAGGGTTGAATGTGGAGAGTTTAGCTCTTTCTATTCATGCCAAATGAAAAAAAAATCTTATAAAAAGAGAGGTTACCTGGGTACAAAAGACCAGTCATGTTGGCTGCGGGGTGGTTGGACCAGTTAGGATTCTGCAAAGGGGGTACAAAGCTTAAACCACCCAGTCTCAGCTGAATGTAGTCCTACTTAAGTCCAGTGTTTGTTAAAGGGCAGGGTGGTCACTGTAGAGAAAGAAGGAAAAATATGATGATCAGACTATATAAGAGGCTCTGAACTGGTTTCATTTGGATACCAGGAGCTCACAACCACTTCTTATATACAGTCTGTGAGCCAAGCAGATTCTATTTGAAAGCCCGGTGAAGGACCAAAGAGTGTTTGTGAATTAAATGTCAAATATTTAAAAAAGAAAATCTTAAAAAGAAGAGAAATGAAAAGCTCAACAGATTTTCTCACCAGCTGAGACCTTTTTAAAGGGGATTTGATGAAAGCAGAGCTGCTTAGTTTGATCGTCTTAAACGTACCACACTGAAATCAACTGAGATGAAACGTTCACACATGGAGACCAGCACATCAGTAGGACGTTACTGATATAAACTATCATACTTAAGCTTCAGAAGTTTTATTAATTTGATAGTTTTACCTGTCAAAAGTTGCACAAATCAAGAAGTTTGAGCAAATTGGCCACAATTGATACAGAACTGTGAAAAATGAGAGCTCAACTGATCTGTCTTTGGGGAAAACAAAAAAACCTGTAGTTTCTTAGTTTTTCTAAATGTGAGGCAATATAAACTCTTAAAGCAGAAAACGACAATTTGGGGGTGATTTGGAAAAGATGTGATGACAGAATGAGTCCAGAAGAGGGTGCTACACCTCCTTAACTCAGCGTTTATTAGATTTCTTTGCTTAAAAAAGGCAGATACATTTGCACAGTTTTAAAACCAGCACATGTACATGAAGAAGAGTAGTGATCTTAAATGCAGGTAACCAGATGGATTCCAGCTGAACTGAACTTTAACTGGATTTTTCTTCAGTAAACATCAGTGTTTCAGCTGGATAGGTCTGACCTGAGAGAGCCCGACGTGAATCAGCCTCCTCTAAATCTGAACTTAATATCCATGTGGAAAAAAGTCACACGAGTCAAGAGAATTATTAAGATATTTCCCAGAAACATTTCACTCGGGTTCTCCAGCCAGCAGAATACAGTAGAAGAAGTATTTCCATCACTCTGCACTCAGTTCCCCCAGATGTGGCCCTCTGTGTTGTGTGAGGGCCAGGGTTCACTCACTGTGGCGTCTGCTGCAGCCAATAACCAGAGAGAGACAGTAGAGTCACTTCACAGTCACCAAGTTAACGTTTTCATCCTCTAGGTTTTTCCACCATTCGGGTTTGTTTGGTGAGAAAGTGCCTCAGTAAATTCACTCTGAACCATTAAAAAGCAACAATTTCAAAAGTTTCACCTCAGATCAGAGCAGCTTTTTGTGACCACCCTGATTCTCCCTCTAAACATAGCAAAATAACCTGACATTATTTCACCACTGATGCATCCTAACCAAACCTCTAAGTGTTTCTCAGACTGGCGAGGACTGTGGAGAGAAAACGTTGTCAGAGGAACCTCTATAAAAAAAAACACCCATGTAAGATGAGACTGAGGGTGTTTGTATATGAACGTTGTCTTTGCTGTGAAAATGTTGTTTCATTTCAGAACTTTAAAGACACAGTCAGACATTTGGGATGGTTTGGTTTGCTCACAGTGATTTAAAAAAAAAAGGGAATTGGCACACATCCAAACAACGAGCAGACATTTTCTGTTTCAAGACTTTTAAAGCGCAGATCAATGACAGTAACTGAGCCAAAGTTTTCAGAGAACAAATGTGTATGTTACCCAAAACCCTGTTGATTATTTTGGCTAGTCAAAGATGTAGTTGGCTTGAATTTTTTCACCTACCTGCCAACTTGGCCAAAAAGTTAATTTCAGTCCCCAAAGAAGTGTTTTAATCTGTTCCTTTACTGGCTGAAACTCCTTATAGTAGCTTTAAGTGTAATTTTTCTCCAGCATTAAGAATGGAGCTTACCCCACTCTGAGGACAGGATTTTAAAAATGTCTGTCTGGCTGTTGAACAAATCTGACTGACTAAACTTTTTTTTTATTGTAAGTCAAACCTCAATGAAGCTTGGAGACCTTAAGCTCGTGTGTTATTATGTTACTGGTTAGAGAGACAAGGAGATGAATCTTTTAAAATACACATGAACAGGATGAGATCAGGATGCAAACAGCTTTGTCCGCAAGGTGGCGCCAAAATTAACACATAACGATCAGAGGAGACTTCTCATGATGAGAAATGAAGGTTTTTGAAAAAAATGAAAAGAAATGTAAGCAAGGGGTCGGCAGCAGCAGCGGTTAAAAATTCGTTAGAAACTTGACTTATTTGCTTTTTACCCCCTGAAGTTTCCTCATCCTCATTTTGTATATTCTGTTTCAAGACCAGTTTTGGTTGAAGCATCTGGTTTAAGCAGCAGCCTCTGGGCTCACAGGAGGTAAAAAACACACATTACATATCTACAGGAACCTTAAACCAGATTCCATGTCGGAGATTCAGCAGCCTGATGAGTTTTTCTGAGTATAAACCCAGAAAAAAACTAAATTTTAGTCCAGCTGAGGTCAAAGACAGAAAAAGACCGTCAGAAAACAGAGTTCAAAGTGTCAGAGGAAATTCATCCACAGATTTGATTGAACTGTGATTTGAAGTGACTGAAACCATTTCCTAAATGTCTGATTGTTCCCTTAACATTTCAATTTTATGTCTTATTATTTCACTTTGTTTTTCTTCCAGCAGCTTTCAGTAATAATAAGCCATTAAGGTATTCCTGCTGCTTTTGCACACATGCGTTAATTCATGGGAACAGGGCCATACTAGATTTTTATGTCACTGTATATTTTTTTACTTTTGCTCACAGTGAATGTATTTTTGACTGACTCACTCACTCACTCTGTGGGGTGTTTTCTTCAATCAGGACTATGTTATGGTTTAAATCCAGCTCATAGTTCTTCCTGAACTCAGTGTTCATGTAGCTACATGTGCTCATCTTCCCGTGCTTTTGTTTACATCCTCTCATGTCATATTTTGAAATGACCCCCACAAATTCCCTAATCTTTGGGCTTCTCACAAGAGGCAGCCAGTATCTTTTTTTTTCTGGTAGTAATGAGTAACTTTCTGCAGCTCAGACATGAGATTGCTGTTAAAAGAAAAGTGGATTGAGTCTCAACTTGTAGCTGTAAAAGTTTTAAAAAGTCTGAAAACATTCCAGAAAATGATGGGAAGATCCTGGCTGTGAATAATAGATGATATTCAGGTTTATAGGTCCTAGTTGTCTCAGCCCTGTCTGGGTTTTTGTGTCCCTCATTGTTCAGTGAAAACTTAAATCTGTGTTGTTTCTCTTCATCCTGCAGACTGAATAAGAGTTGCCTTTTCTTTTTCTTAACCAGCTCGTATTAATGTTCTTCAAGAACGGTTCATATTTGACGGACTTTTGCCAAATAATAACTGAAGCACATTATTATTGATCAAGCCAAGGGAAACATAAAGCCATTATTGAGGTGTGACTGACTGACTGGACGAGCTGAGAGGAGGATTTCTAGGGGACCTGAGCGCTCACACCAATCAGAACTTTGAATGGAAAAAGTTTTGTTTGTCTTTTTAATCGATTTGGGTTTGAAGACATGATATCACTGATTTAGTGTTTCCTCTAAACGACCGACACCATGAGTATGGAGGCAGAGAGCAGCACTTGATGTTGTTTATTTTGGGCGTTTTATGCCTTTGTTTTGGAGAATAGGAAGAGCAGGAACTGGGGGGATGTGATAATGGGTCACAGGTTGGAGTCAGACCTGTTTAAAGGTCTACAGTCTATCTGGGACCTTCCCACAGTGATCCTGTCTCGCCATTGTTACGCCTCTGTTTTTACCATTTATAATAGCAGGTAGTTGATTGTGGGCACAGTCGTAGTCTCAGGTTTGATGGTGGGACTATTGCTTGAGAATGAAAAAGGCAAACAGCTAATTTAATTGGACAACACGCTCCAGAAATAATAAACAACTTTTAAACAATAAATGCAACCATGGCTGCTCTCAGTCTCCAGAGCATGGGTCTGACTCGTCTGAAGTCATGATCCCTGAGTACTCTCGTGATCTCAACCTTACAAAGTTTACTTTCTTCCAATCACAAAAGAATTATTTAATGATGTCAGTGCAACCCAAAATACATACAGATGCTAAATGAGGAACATCCAAACACCAGGTAATCACTGATGTACACGGATGACGTTACCATGGTGGACTCTGATGCTGTGCACTGATGGTATGAGTTAAGCAGCATGAGATCAGAAAATACTGTGTGATCACTGAAAGGTGTTTCAGACAAAAAGCAAAGCAAATACAGAGTCACGATTGAAGTCCTGAACCAGACTTTGACCTTAAAACAACAATTTCAGAGTTGTTAGTTGACAAATCCTAAAGTCTGACTTTGAGCAGATCTGCATCACCATCCTCTTAGCCTGTTGACTGGAATGATTAACCCAGCTGAGAGAGTCCAGGAGATGGTGATCAAAAGGATCTGACAGTGAAACTTGCAGGATGCTGAGACTTGCTTTGCTTTTTGTCAGAAATTCAAGGTTTCTTATGTTCTGGAGGATCTTTTGTGTCCTCGGGTGACTGAAACACGTTGCTCCTCTGATTTGTGTCCTAGAGGATGTCCCTGCTGAGATGTTTTGAAGATTTTTGGTTTCTTGAGTGTAATTAGAATTTATCATGTCAATATTTAAAAGAAACAGAGCTGCTCATGGTCCTGGAAACATCACATGTGGATTTATGTTTTGGTGGATTTGTGTGAAAATGTCCAGAAATGTCAAAGAGAGTACACCTGCTGTGTGCCAACTCAACATGTACGAATGCACTTTGAAAGATATTTTTACTTGCAGAGAATAAATAAAAGAACTAATCTGGTGTGTTTGCAGTGTGAGTTGATCAATGATTAGCCAGCATTGATTGGAGGTGATGTTTTATTCATGTCTGCGGTGTAGTAACAGAGATCTCTCCATGTAAAGAGGAATTGATGAAAGCTGCAGAGAGGTGCAGGTTTAGCCGGCGGTTGAGTTTGTCTGCTCGGCTCCTCGGAGACTCAGCTGTTCATCACACCGATCTGCTCCCCTCATTTCTCACAGCTCCACCTCAGCCTCAGGGAGTCTGCAGGACGCACAACGAGCCCAACTTGGCTTCTGCTTCGTGGATTTGTAAAGGGAGAAATATTTTTATTGGTTGTTTCATGTTAATCAGATGGGAAAATGCACGCTCATAAAATGCACATGCGTGTTTAACAGCAGATCTGGCAGGAGAGGGGAGTGTAAAGGTTGTGGAATAAACTTTTTACAGGTTAACTTTAGAAATGGTTCCAAAACCTGTTTCTAGATTAAGTCCTGGATTGAAAGATGAACAATGAAGCTATGCTTTCCTCCTGACCATCGAGGGGCAGTCCATTGACTGTATGTACTATGGACAACTTGGTTCTGCCTTCTGTCAGTATACGGATTTGAAGCTGAAAAGCTCTCGGTAGTTTTTTCTCCACTTCCTTAAACCAACATTGCGCAGTAGCGTTGTACGCATTAGGCGGGAGAGTCGCAGAGAGTTGCTGTGATGACGCTCAGCTCCAACAGCGTATCCCTTGGGTGAGCTACGCAATCTTCGTACTCCCATAGGCTGTATCAAGTGTCAATCACAGAAAACATGAACTCCCTAATAACTTTTAAAAATGGAGCTGCACAGAAAAAAAGAGGACTTAAGCACAAATCAGTCTTTCTACATGTCAACATCGCAAGCCGGAAAAAAGAGAAAAAATTATATTCTGTGTAATAAATTTCCAAAGTTTGTCCACAGCTCCATAGGGATTGCTGGAAGGGGGAGGGGTTATGACCTATGACCCCGCCTGTCACCAAAGGGTGCTGTTCTTGCGATGGCTTAACCCAGCAAGGATGCAGACAGTGTCCATGCTATATACAGTCTATGGGGCAGTCACATGTCAAGATCATGGATGGGATCTCCCTAATGTCACTCATGACTTTCTGCTGAGGCTTCCTGAGGCCCAATGACTGAATAAAAATTGTTTATGTAAGAATTAAGGCACTATGAATGAAGGTTAGTCTATCTATCTATCTATCTATCTATCTATCTATCTATCTATCTATCTATCTATCCATCCATCTATCTATCTATCTATCTATCTATCTATCTATCTATCTATCCATCCATCCATCAGCTTAAGCACTTCACCTGGACAGGTCACCAGCCCATCAGAGGGCTGACTAACAATCATATATACTTGCACTTACATGAAAGGGCAATCTAGAGTCTTATTGCCGTGTTTCACTGTGGTGTTCAAGTCCCAGTGAGTTTTCTTTCCTTGTCTTGATGGTTGGTTGGATGGATGGATGGATGGATGAAAGTTCACAGAGAAACCTCAACAGGAAGACAAACAGCTCAGGTATGTTCACAGGGGCTGATCTGTTCTGCAGTTTAAAGACTGCAGAGAAACAAAGTGATGCATGAACCCTCAGAGGTGAAGTTTCCATGAGAACCAGAGAGAGTCTCAGGTTTTCTCCTCTTCACCTCTCCTGATGTGTTTCACAGAACGGCCATGAGTTCCTCTCATCTGAGTCACCCTCATCATGCTGCCAGCAAACCCACAACAAAGACAACAGGACAACACAGCAGGCAGGGCGCAAACACGCTGAGCCACACACAGACTAAACAGTCAACACACTTCACATTGTACACAAACACAGGGCCGTTAACGCTGCATGGATCAGTCTCTTTTATTTCGAAATGTTTTTATTTCTAACATGGGAACAAGTCTGTATGTCAGAAACCACAGATCACCTCACTAACACTCTTCAACCTTATACTGATGGAGAAATCAGACCATATTTTCATACTGACAATATTTTAGAAAAATGTTTTATAACGGAGCACTTTCAGCTCATCAGATATCTGATATCTCTGCGCTGCAACAGTAAAGAAAGACAGTGAAAGTTTTAATGAGAGACTCAGAATTCAGAACTCCAATATGGCTTTAAAAGGCAGGTAGATATTAAACTTTGTGTAGTATATTAATAATTTGTCCATTTCTTTAGTAGAGATATCTCATGTGAAACATCCCAAAGACCTTATGGTCTAATGTCACACCAAGAAATTTGATTTCCTTCATCATTCATACATCTATTCACAAGCTGGTCTGTATTTTCCTACTTTTATGACCTGCCCAGTGTTTTACCGGTATTTAAGGTAAGTTTGTTTTATGTTGTTCTTTGTGTTTACTTTGATAATTTTCCCACAGTCTGCAATCATCAGTGCGTTAAAGATCTCCCCAGAACAGTAAACGGGAGAGTAATCTACAAAAAGCACATTATTAAGAATATTTCATCAATTACATTCGTTGTTCATAAATAATATGAAGAGTTTCGGTCCAAGTATAGATCCTTGTGGCACTCCCTCTGTAATATCCTGAAGATGTTCTTTGTAGTGTGTCAGTTGCACATACTGTTTTCAGGCTTACACTCTTATAATAACCTGCAAAAGATGTAGAGTTCTTTTAAACCGGCAAGTTACAGTTTATAAATATAAATCATCTAATCTACAGAAAATCATCCTGTTAAGTTTTCCAGTTGCTCCTGGATCTTCTTCGGTTGTTCCAAGATCAGAAGGCACATTTAACCCCTCCAATGATCTCGGGGTCCACCTCAGGACTGGCTTCCAGTTAAATTAGTTCAGTTTTATTATGGTTTTATTCCAGCACTTTTGGACCACTACTACTTCATCTGCATCTTTATTAGCACTGGATAGAAACACGACTTCATCTCAGTAGGTCAAACTCTGTCCCAGAGAAGCTGCCTCTGTCCTCTGCTTCTATCTAATTTTAGGGGTTCTGCAGCTCTGGAGAAGCTGTCTCCAGGTCTTATTGTGAGGCATCAAAACTTTTGGAGACTCTTTGCTAACAGTAACTTGAACCTCTCTCTCTCTCTCTCTCTCTCTTTGTGGGCTCAAAAAACACCTCCCACCTCGCTGAATAATGTAATAAATAAAGTTCAAACTCCAACGGTTTGGAAAACACGCTGCTTCTCCTGAAAAGTTGCCATTTGGACAGTGAAGCTGAAAAGTACCGATACATGAACTACTCCCACACAGATTTCCAGCACACCCACGCTGACGTCCAAACCACACACATTTACACTCTCACACACACTCTCACAGCAGGAGGCCCCTCAGGTTTAGGGAAAACAACAGTTTTAAGAGGGAAACATGGCAGCCATTACCACAGAAAAATGTGAGAACAGAAATTGAAGCTTCAAAGGCCCGAGTCAGGCCCGAGTCAGGCCGTCACCAGGCGGCAAAATCCTGGCGTGGAAAATTATGGAGTTCCTCATTTGTCCACTAGAGGCTGTGTCCTGCAGTGAGTCAGTCCCCTTTCAGCCCCATGTTAAAATGTCCAACTTTACAGCAGAAAGAAACATAGTTATGTTTGTCTCCAGTTAGTGAGATCAACTCGGAGGGGGATGAGTTTTAGCAATCTCTGTTTTTCAGTGTGAACCCTAAACTAATTACCAAACTGCACCTGCTCAACTGACACTAACAAAGGTGTGTACAGCTGACACCCCTCCAGATACTTGATGTTACTGCAAGTTAGAGCTGGTCCCTGATTTCTTATTTAGCTTTAATTATCAGCTGTGAGCATTTATCCACCTCATTAGCATCAAAGAGAGCACATAGGTTTGATCTTCATGGAGACTAATGACTACGTTTAAGTGTCATTTCTCTTTATTCATCTTCATTACACTTCTGCACCCTGTCACTCACAAATCACATTCAACAGGTTTCTATTATCAGTTTAATTATTAAAAAAAGGATCTCAAAGCTGCTGTGTGGTCTGAGCTGACATTTGAATTTATCTGAAGTGTGAAAAAAACAGCCTCAAGCATTTTTCATTTTCATTATCTTAACAGATTTTTTTAAAGTTTCAGTCTGTAGCTGTGTGAAGCTGCTCAGACCAGAAGCAAAGGGAGCACAAACTTTCTGGTACTGATTTGGATTTGACTGCAGAGCAATGGTGTGAATTCATGTCTGTTGAAAACAACCTGCAAATATTTGACTTAGAGAAAACACCTTCCAGTCTGATCCACAGCTGGGTTATTGTCCCCTTAACCTCCATGAAGTGGGTCTTGATGAACTTTATCGCTGCATCCATTTCAATAATCCAGTACAAGGACTTCTCTAACTGACACCAACTACCAACATGGGGCCTGTCCATGGGTCTTCATTGAGTCTCAGTCTTGATTTCAGTGGACATGTCTCCACTGAGTCTCAGATTCACTGTACTAGTCTCCATCAAGTCCCATTTTTAATATTTTTGTCTCCATTGTGTTTTGCTTACATTGTATCTGTCCCAGCTGAGTTTCAGTGTAATTGTATCTGTATCCACTGAGTCACAGTTTTACTGTATCTATCCCCACTGAGTCTCAGTGTCACTATGTATGTTACTACTGGGCCTTAGTTATACTGTATCTATTTTGGCTATGTCTCTTTTTCTCTGTATTTATCCCAACTGAGTCTTGGCTTCAGTGTATCTGTCTTCAGTGGGAGTAGGTTTCATTGTATCTGTCCACAAAGTCTCAGTATTACGTTGTATGTTTCCACTGGGCCTTAGTTTAACTGTATCTATCTTAGCTGAGTCTCAGTTTTACTGTAAGTCTCAGTGAGTCTTGATTTCTGTGTGTCTATTGCTTATTAGTCTTAGTTTCAATTAATCTGTCTCCATTGGGAGTAGGTTTCATTGTATCTGTCCTGTCTTTACTGAGTCTCAGTTTCATTGTATCTGGCACTACTAATTCTTAATTCTACTGTATCTTTCTCAGTTTCACTGTCTGTCTCCACCGAGTCTCAGTTTCACTGTATCTGTCTCATTGAATGTCAGTTTTTTACAGTTTTAAATCACATTAAAGTCTGCTGGAGAATGTCTAAGACTACAGGCCCCAAAATAAACAGATTTGACATGACTGACTGCGAGACATTGAGAGATTTTGCCTGATGTAAAGGATTTAAGCATTTTTTCTAATAACTTTTGTCTAATAAAAAGCACAGAAACAAACCCAGCTGACGTGGGTTTTTTTGAAAATACCAAATGAAAGAAATCATTAACAGACTTACTCCTCCATTTTCATTGATAAACAAACACTCGGTATAACTTCTTAAAGCTCTCACACCCTGCACATTAATTCTTGTGTGTGCAGATAGGAGCAGGATTGGGACATGTAGCTCTGCAGCACACAGTCAGAACTGATCTAAGGGCAGCTGACAGACGACACAGTGACCCAGCGCTTACTGAGACTTCCTCTAACTACAAAACGTCAGTCTTCATCCAAGTCCTCATTAGGCGGGTCCCTCTAAAGCAGCACAGATGGTTCAGGCTGATTGATTATTGTTTCTAAATTTAGATTGAAAAAAGCCTGTAACCCTGCCAGAAGCATGAGAGCCTGTTTGTTTCCTCATTTCTCTCTTTGTCATCACCGTAATCCAAACAAGCTGCTGACTGCAACGCCACAGAACAACAGTAAACAGCAGTGTTTAAAGGGTTATTCTGGTGTTTTTAGGACCGGTTCATATTCCAAATCACTGACAAAGTGTCTTTGAATGTGATTTTCTTCATTCTGCCACAGCGAAACGTACAATGACCCTTTAGGTTGATTACAGGAATATTATATGGATGCAATTTTTTTCACAAAACATCATAAAAATTCAGGGTATACAGAGACACTCCAAAAGAAATGTCATTT